TCATGTGTGTTTATGGAGGGACTAAGGCTACATTTGAAAATGAACACATTGTAGTGTTTGAGTAAGACTCACATATTTGAACACTTGGTCCCTAGTTGGTGGCACTGTTTAGGGAGGCTGTGGAACTTTAGGAGGTGGAGTCTGGCTGGAGGAAGTACGTCACTGAGGGTGGGCTTTGAGTGCTTATGATCTCTTGAACTTCCTATTTGCTCTCTGCTTCCTGCTGGCAGATGAAGATACAATCTCTGTCTCTTAGGTCATGTCTTCCACCATGCCTGCTGATTGCTCAATGCCTCCCCACCTTGATCAACTCTTACCCCTTGGAGAGCATAAGCCAATATAAACTCTTCTTTCTATAAGTTGCCTTGGTCAAGGTGTTTTACCACCACAACAGAAAAGTAACTATTTCACACATTATGAATAACCAATAGCCTATGATCAGGAAAGAAGCGACATTGGCATTTCCCTATGTTAGTACGTATATAAGTTATATGTGTGTATGATAAAGTTGGCAAACTTGAACTATGTGTCTGGAGATAGCTCGCCTTGAACAGGGAGTGAATGTGTTCATTTCCATCAACAAGATACTTTTGCCCTACAGGCTCCACTTTCTTTCTAACAAAAATATTATTTTTAGTCAGTTATGGAAGCACACCATCTAACTGTAATAATTTCCCATTTATAGAGAGTTTATGATACGCCAGGCATGTGCTGGGAATTTTACAGCCATTTAATCCCCACGACTATCACATGATTGAGCCATACTCTTGTGAAGACACCTAGGGAATCGTTTCTAGAGCTGGGATACTAGTTCAAGCCTGGCTAACCTCAGGACCCCAGACTCTTTGACTTTCTGTGATACTATTTGTGCAGCATCACAAGCCCAGATGCTATTACCTGTGGAGGCCCAAATTACTCAGAGTCTGAGAATCGGAGCTTGCTTTACCCAGCAGGGCTGCATAAGGGGATGATCTGGCCATGGACATGGTTACCAGGTGTTTGGAAGGGTCTATCTACACTTGGCTGTGTGATGTGCTTTGATCTGCACGGGGGAGGTCTTTTGCCCCGCCCCTTGGCATTGTTATAAAAAGCCCTTTTGAATAAATGGAAAAGGCCGTTGGGTTTTGATCCAGGTCCTCCCAAAGCTATCCTGTGTTTCTGTCTGTCTCCTCTTACATATCTTTCTATCTAATATTTCCTTATCCCTCTCTCCTCCTCATAGGAACCCTGGAAAAAGTGGGAGCTGGCCTCCCACAATTACATGACCTTCAGAGAAAAGTGGCTCCAAGTTCTGTCATCCTTATGAAAATGTCCTCATGACTTGTTTTTTTTTTTTTTTTTTTTTGAGACAAGGTTTCTCTGTGTAGCTTTGCGCTTTTCCTGGAACTCACTCTATAGCCCAGGCTGGCCTCGAACTCACAGAGATCCGCCTGGCTCTGCCTCCCGAATGCTGGGATTAAAGGCGTGCGCCACCACCGCCCGCCTCATGACTTTCAAATGGCATCATTTTAAAATCCAGATCCTGGTTTTGCAGCTCAAAACCCTTCTCTATGCTGAGTTCTGGGTGACCTAGATGATACACTAGGAATTCTCATTAACTTTAAGTCCAAATAAAAAAAGGGACACGATCTTGAGCTGAGGGTACTATCTGCCATGAGGCTGGGCCTTTGGGAGAGGTGCTCATGGATGTTTATGGAGGGACCAAGGCTACCGGTTCCTCTTTCGGGGTGTGTGTGTTCCTGTGTATTCACACTCCATACAACATCAAATCACCCAGTTGTATTTCTTCTCTGAAACTTTACTGGGGGAAGTCTATAGTAGTTTGATAGGAATGACCCCCATAGGCTCATAGATTTGAATGCTTGGCCACTAGGAGTGGCGATACTTGATAGAGATTAGAAGATGTGACCTTGTTGGAGTAGGTGTGGTCTTGTTGGAGGAAAGTCACTGGGGGTGGGCTTTGTGGTTTCAAAAGCTCAAGCCAGGTCCAATCTCTCTCTTTCTCTCTCTCTCTTCCTGCTGTCTGCTGATCTGAATATAGAACTCTCAGCTACCTCTCCAGCACCATGTCTCCCTACATGCTGCCATGCTTCCTGCCATGATGATAATGGACTAAACCTCTGAAACTGTAAGCCAGCCCCAATTAAATGTTTTCCTTTATGAGAGTTGCCGTGGTCATGGTGTCTCTTCACAGCAATAGAACATTGACTAAGATGAAGTCTATTCCATGAATTGTCTGCTACATACAGAACTATTTTCTCCTCAAGGGTCTTTTTTTTTTCTTTTTCGGTTTTTCCAGACAGGGTTTCTCTGTGTTGTTTTGGTGCCTGTCCTGGAACTCACTCTGTAGACCAGGCTGGCCTTGAACTCATTGAGATCTGTCTGGCTCTGCCTCTCCAGTGCTGGGATTAAAGGCATGCACCACCACCGCCCAGCTCAAGGGTCTTTTTACTGCTGAACAATTTCAGGTTGTTATTACTGAGGGGCCAAGACCCTCTGTGGAACAACAGTCAGAACTAGGACGAATGAACTGGACAGGGAAAGCACATGATCCACGTGTGTCCTGGCTTGCTTTCTGTGCTCTGATAAAAGTTCTGACCAAGAGCAACATGGAGAGAAAAGGGCTTCTTCAGCTACACATCCCAGTCACAGTCCATCATAAGGAAGGGCAGGGCAGGAACCTGGAGGTAGGAACAGAAGCAGAGGCCACGGAAGAACACTGCTTACTGCTTTGCTTCTCATGGTGTGGTGGTTTGAATGAAAATGGCCCCCATAGACTCCTAGGGAGTGGCATTATTGGAGGTGTGGCCGTGTTGGAGGAAGGCTGTCAGAGGAGGAGGGCTTTGAGGTTTCAGAAGCTCAAGCCAGGCCCAGTGTCAGTCTCTCTTCCTGCTGCCTATGGATCCAGATGTAGAACTCTCAGCTCCTTCTCCAGCACCATGTCTGCCTGCCATGCTGATAATGGACTAAACCTCTGAAACTGTAAGCCAGCCACAATGAAATGCTTTCCTTTATAAGAGTTGCTGTGGTCATGATGTCTAGTCACAGCAATAAAACTCTAAGACACATGGTTTTCTGGGTTTGCTTTTTAGTACAACACAGGATCACATTCCCAGGGCTGGCACCACCCACAGTGGGGTGGGACATCCTACATCAATCATAAATCAAGAGGAATGCCCCCACAGACTTGCCCACAGAACAATCTGAGGGGGGCATTTTCTCACTTGAAGTTTCCTCTTCCCAGATGACTTTAGCTTGGGTCAAGTTGACAAACTGTTGGCCAGCTTTCTGCCGCTACAACAAATACCCAAGATAATAAGCGCACAAAGAGAAAGGGTTATTCTGCATCTCAGTTTTGGGCTGTGACTGATTGGCTCTGTTGCTCTTGGGCCTGCGGCGCGGCTGCCACACCGTGCTAAGAACACGTGACAGAGCAAAACACACTCACCCTATCGCCAGCCAGGGATAATAAAGAAGAGGGGCCGGGTCATCCCCAGAAGGAGAGGACACACAAATTCCAAAGTCCAGGCTAGCAGTGTAGCATACCCCTTACATGTGTTGGCAAGAACATACACAGCCATGTGACCAGGACTAATTCAAAGGGGAATGGGAAGTCTAAGTCTCAGACGAGTCCCCCTTCTGTAAGATGACAAGATGGCTCCAAGGTGTTCCACATCTTACATCTGAGTAATGGCAGCTGAAAAAGCTAATGACTTTCCACAGCTCAGAGTCAGATTGGGCAGCTTCGGATTATTTTTCTGTGTCACCAGCCACCATGACAAAAGGAACGGAGTGGCCCCATTTAGTGTAGACTTGACATTCATTTCTCTCGGTGTTAAGTCTCACTGGACCCTCAGAAAATGATGACTGACGGGGAAAGATGAGTTTTACCACTAAGAAAAGGAGTGATGTACAAAAACCAAAACAAATGAAAATGATGTGGTATTGGGCTGGGGATGGGCTCAGTTGGTAGAATGTTTGCTTGGCACACATGAAGCCCTGGGTGTGATCCCCAGCACTAAATAAAGCCAGAGTATGTCTGTGGTAGATGGGCTGAGATGAGGCAGGAGGGCCTTCACACTGTACTCAGTAGATAAGGAAAGCAGGGTAGAGGGAGGCCCCGTGGTGTTCTCCCCTCCCCCGCCCCCTCCGCCCCAAAAGCTAATTAAAAATGTGAAGCTTGGGTCTGCTGAGAGCATTTATGAGTGAGTATAGAGATGCTCTTAGTACCAAAGTTGGTTTCCTTAGGCTATCAGGCAAAGGCACAAAAAGCCTTTAAAGAACCAATCTGCCACCGCTCAAAAGGGGAAGCTGGGGTCCAGAGAAGGGTGAGCAGCCGAACGCTGGTGAATTGCAGGACCTGTGAGGAGTCCAGGGCTTCCCTGGTTCTGTTTGGGACTGACTTACAGGCAGACTCCAGAGGACACCTCCCATCCCCGAAACCAAAAGCGAGCAGATCGCAAGAGAAGCATAGCTTCACTTGGATACAGGATGAGACCTTAGAACTTCAGTTTTGGTTTATTTTGAGGCAGGGCCTCATGTAGCCCAGCTGGCTTCTAATTCACTAAGTCGCTGAGGATGACCTTGAATACCTGGTCTTTCTTCCCCTACCTCTTTAGTGCTGGGATTAGAAGCATGTCTGATTTTACAGGGCGGGAGACGGAACCCAGGGCCCGGTGGCGGATCTTTTGTTTTCACCCATCAAATCTGATTTTGAACTAGGTGGGAGACCCAGACAGACTGCAGGAAGGAATATTTGCGGGCTATGACCCGGGCACAGCAGGAATCACTTCACTCGGCCTCTCCACCGCAGTTCGCGAATACTGTGACCACACCAGCGCCCCACGCCACGGGCTCCTCGCAGAGCGCCGGCCGGCCGGGGCGGGCCCTGCATCCGAGCTCCAGCCGCAGCGGCCCGCAGACCTGCCCCGAGCGCCGCGCGGAATCACGGTCGTGGGCGGGGCGCCGGCGGTGGGCGCGGCGTCCGGGTGGCGCTCGCCACTCGGGCGGTGGCGCGGGCGCCCGGGGCCGGCACGGAGGGGACCCGGAGGCGCGGTCCCGGAGCAAGGCGGACGGCTGGGCTGGGGCTGGGGCTGGAGCAGCGACCACGCGGGGCCGCCGTGGTGCCTTGGACTCGTGCGGCGGCTGCGGGGCGCGCGGCCCTTCGCCATGTACACCTTCGTGGTGCGCGACGAGAACAGCAGCGTCTACGCCGAGGTCTCCCGGCTGCTGCTGGCCACCGGCCACTGGAAGAGGCTGCGGCGGGACAACCCCAGGTTCAACTTGATGCTGGGCGAGAGGAACCGGCTGCCCTTCGGGAGACTGGGTGAGTCTTTCTTCCCTCGTGGCCGTGGCGCGCACGGCCCCGGGGAGCCAGCGCTTTTGTTTTTTAAGGTCATTAATCTTCTCCAGGCGCTAGCTCGCTCCGGCAGATCTAAAATGGATCCACCAAGACCTAAACCCATAGCTGGATTCGGAACGGAGCCTCGGTGCGGTTGCTGTGTCTGCTGACAGTGCCCTAGCCCTGCACCCGGAGTGTCGGCCTCGACCCCGAGCTTCCCTGGGCCTGCTGCAATCATCTTGCAGCTAGCTTTCCGCCACCGAGGATTCCGCCTTGTGTGATGTGGGTGTGGAGGGGGAGTTGTCGTTGTTGAAACCCCAGAGGCTTGTGCTACCGAGAGGCTCAGGGAATTTGGGAAAGACTCACTGAATTACCCAAAGCGGGAGCTTCCAGGGAAGCTGGTGGGTGGGAGTGGAGGGGTGCTGCATTTCAGACCTCTCTTTTAGCTGCACCAAAAGTGTGCATCCGCAACTGTGCGTCCAATGATGGTTTTTTTACAGGAGTTTGGATGCCCTTTGGTCTCCTCATCCACGTGGGCGAAGCTAGCTTGGTTCCACTTTATTCACATACTTTCCTGTAGGAAGGGACAGCGACTCCCTTTTAAATGACGTAATCTAGAGGTTGTCCAGATGGGTTCAACTAACATCCCACACAGACTTGAGCCTGGTCATCTGCGGAGGGCCTGTCTCTCTCTGGGTAGCTGGTTCTTTTGCAAAAACTCACTTGGGGGTGGGGTCGGTTGTATTCCAAGGACAGAAGGGGAGAATTGATAGCAAAGAAGAAACATCTCTACCTTGGAGAACACCCCACAGAGTAGTGTCCCGTGCCCTGGAGAGGAGAGTGATTTCAGAAATAGGTGTGGTCAGAGATGGATGACTAGACTGAAAGCAGGTCGTTTGGAATTAACTGGCTCTTTGGCAAGCTTGCATAAGGCATTCGGGTGACATTACAGCCCTATCAAGATGTGATAGTTTGAAGAATGAAGTGTGCTAAGGCTTAACCTTACTGAAATAGTCCAGGGACAACTTTTCATTCTCATACAAGTTTAGACTGTAGCATGGCAACCCCATGGAGGGGCTGGTTGGAAGTCTCAGAAATCTCAGAATAGAAATGTGCTTGTTAACCAGGTTCCTCTGGAAGGGCTCGGCAAAGAAAATCCCACTAAACGAACTTCCCTGAAAGGAGTACAGGAACAGCCACCAGTCTGTCCCCTTCCTCTGTCACCCCCTTCCTGACTTCCCTTCCTCTTGGCACTTGACAGTGCCTGATGGTAAGAGCCTAGGTAGAACCTTGGTGTTGAGAACACATGGAAAGGCTCTGCTCAGGCTGGGGCAGGGCGAGGTGGCCTTGCTGCTGTGATGACAAAGAGAAACCCTTTGTGATCCCAGTCCTAAAAAGGCACCACACATTTAACAGATGAGCAGCAAACGTTTTATCTTTATGGAAAAGACAGATGTATCCTCTTAACTAAAATGGTTCTGCACCCTCACTGTTGAGAGTATTCCCTTTCTGTCTAAAGTGGGCGGCATAACCCAAGGGGAAAGAACAGAGTCGTGTGCAGGTGCTGAAAGCCAGGGCCAATGGCATGAGAAGTCAACAGGGAATCGGACCTGTCTACCCCAGGGAGACTGTGGAAACCAGATAATATCTGAAAGTTCTGATTTGGTTATGTGCCATGGTTGGATTAATTATTGTTAACCCTGACACCAACTCAAAGTCTCTTTTAAAATCTTACCTTTTGTTACTGGAAATGCAAAGCATTTTATTAGGAGTTAAAAATTTTTTTAATAAAATGTATTTTTGTTGTATCATGTTATTTCTAATTTTTAATCTTGATTTATTTCATCTTTTGTGGTGCTGAGGATTGAACTCATGGCCTCATATGTGTTGATGATGCACTGTACCACTGAGCCACACTGCAGACCTCCTGTTGTGGTTTGAGAACAGCTTTTGTAGTAAGAGCTAATACATGTTTCCTCATGGGATAGTCCTAAGAAGTTCTCAGGGCTTCTGACATTGTCACAGGGACTTTCTACTGCCTTCTTTCACTTCTTAGTGACTTCTAGAAGCTCCTTGAGGTAGATGTGCCGTACTCTGCTGCCTTCTTTGATGTTTGGAAAAAGTGGGGTTGGAGATGGATGTGTGACTGTATGCAAGTAATCTTGCTCAGCAGATTACAAGCCTGTGTGTGTTAAGCTAAGAGAGGACTGTGTTAGGACCAAGGAAAAATGACATAGAAAATACCCAATATTCTCCTAATAAGAAAAAAGGCAGCCACACCACAGCTGACCTGCATGTCAGTATTAATGTTGCAGTATTGAGAGTAGGGTACTGAGAGGAAGAGGGACCTTGGGACACAGAACCAAAAGTATTCCACGTTGAAAGGAGAGAAAGGGAAGCTGGGGTTGACACATCTGTTCTGCACACTGCTGCTGACATTGTCACGCCGCACCTGTTCTGTTTCCATTCTGAGCTGCTTCTTTCTTCGTAGGTCACGAGCCTGGGCTGGCACAGCTGGTGAATTACTACAGGGGGGCGGACAAACTGTGCCGGAAAGCTTCCTTGGTGAAGTAAGTGTTTCCCAAGACCTTCATTTTCGGTGTTTTATATAAATGGTTTTAGCTTTCATCCTGAAGTGCTTAGGCCAAGATAAGGAGGAGAAAAAAAAAAGACCTTTACTGTTTTAAAAGTCAACAGATATCAGGGTTGTGGGCTCCTCTGGGTTGCTTTGACTACAGTTTAAGGCGTTGCTGTGTGTATCGCTTACTAAAGCCTGCCTGTCTCCTAGGTGAGCTCCCTAGAAGCAATGCCTGACTCTCCGGAAGGGGGTTCTGGTGTAAGTGGTTTCTTGGAAGATATTCAAGGCAAACCCATCTGCAATCGAGGGGGGGGAGTGGTGGCAGGGTAGGGCAGGGCGAATTAGGAGCCAAGCAAAGGAGTAGTTTTAGCTGAAGTCTTACCCCAGTGGTGTGACGTGGATGACACCTCAGAGCTGTCACACTTGAAGCAAAGTGACTGAGCATCTGCCATAGTGTCAGTCGGGAGCAGTTCCACTTTTTCTTGGCATTTGCTCACCTAGAAACTTTCCCATGCTCTCTTCTTGTGGGGAAAGGACTGGGGGTGGGGGGTGGGGTTAGTTGCCAGGCATTTCTGGTCCCTGGAGAAGGGTGTGTGCAAGCATCCTCAGAAGACTCTCAAGCAGTGGGGGGGGGGCATGGGGGGGGTCCTCAGGAGATGTTCAGATAGAGTGCAACAGCCATCCATCTCTGAGCCGTTGAGGTATGGCTAGATAGCACAAGGATGGTATTATAAGGTAGAATTCAGCAGTATGCAGTGATTGTGATCCAGGGTCAGCACCTGGGGATTAACCCCAGCTCTTTGAAGAATCTAATTAGCGGGCAAATCTTCTCATCCCTCTAAGCCTGAGTACCTCCCTCATAAAGCAATTATGAGGGTGAGACCAGGAGTCGTGTGTGAGCGGATGCAGCACAAGGGCCTGCTGCACGTGGGTATTTGTGCTTTAACTTTCTTCTCTGAAAGTGAACGGTGGTAACTGCCTAACGAGACTCTTGCCGTCATCGTCATTATGACTGTCGTTTTCATATGGACGCTCTCCCTCTGGTCCCTAAGATCAGGGCTATAGTTTGTCTCCTGGACTCTTTCCCTGCGATTCATAAATACATATGAATAGTCAAAAAGCCTTCTCGTAGTGACAAATGCTCTTTTTTCTTGCTAATGTTTCTTTTGGACTTAAGAGGTTGGGTGCGTATCATAGCAGCTCTGTTTTTCTGTGGATGTGTGGGTTCTGGTGTCTTTCCCACCTCTTTTCTCTAGGATGGGTTTCTAAAAGAGAGCGAGGCTTCCTAAAGTCTTTGTCTGATGTATTTTGTTTGTTTGTTGTTTTTTTAGAGATAAGATTTCTCTATTTTATAGCTCTGGCTGTCCTGGAACTCACTTTGTAGACCAGGCAGTCCTTGAACTCACAGAGATCCTCCTGTCTCTGCCTTCTGAGTGTTGGAATTAAAGGCGTATGCCACCACTGCCCAGCCAATGTATTCTTTTTGTGTTTAGAATGTAAATGACCAGGGCTGGAGAGATGGCTCAGGAGTTAGGAGCACACATATTGCTCTTTCAGAAGACCTGTGTTCGGATACCAGCACTCACGATACACAGCTCACAACTGCCACCTACCCTCATTGGCACGTATACCAGCACTCACGATACACAGCTCACAACTGCCACCTACCCTCATTGGCACGTGAACATACCCACACAGAGACATAAAGACAAAAGTAGAATTTTTGCTTTTATAAGTAGGAAGCAGAAGATGCTATAAAAATAATAGTGCTTTGCATTTTTGCATAATCAACAGCTGTAATGAGTCAGAGAGAATACAGGACTGGAGTCATGACCAGTTCTATTACCTTGGACAGCACCACCCCGAATCCCGGTATCCCATTTGCAAAGTGGGCTTAGATGTCAGTGACAGTACCCACTCCTTGACCCGGAGTAACATGAGATATCATCTGTAATGGCCTCTTATAAATGCTGACTGTTGTCACCGTCATCAGCTTCCTCTGTTCTCCCAGTGTTCTGCCAGGGGCTGTAGCAGTTCCAGGTGAGCCTGGCTCCCTTTTGCAGTGTGTCTGTCTGTTGTGATTGTGTATGACTTGAAGGGATACTAGAGAGTTAGAAGGTGGTCACTCTCATTTTGGGGGGTGGGGGTGTCTGCTGTGGGTTCCAAGGCCACAGCAGTTCATATTGAGCCAGGAAGGTTCTAATCTGTACAAATAGAACAGTATGGCCAGGCATGCCTGAGAGGGCTTCCCAGAGCCTTGATGAGGTTCTATGCTGGATCTTGGACAACCTGTTCCTTCTTCCAGTCACTTCAGGTAGTATCGGAAGTTCATGAAGATCCTATGGCCACAGCCTAAAGCTCTTGAAGGACTCTTCATCTCCTGGCAGGGTGGCAGGCTTTTTCTCTTCTGAGCATTACTCCCTTGTAGGTGTGGATAAACCTGCCGTTGCACAATTGATTCCCAAACTGCCCGCTGAAGGAAGGGAAGAAATGCAAAGGACTTCATGCAAAGCTTAGCCATGGCTCTGTCCTAGAAATTAGGGCTTCCAAGCCAAGATCACCTTACAAACCAGCACTGCCCCAGCAGAAACAGGATGCTAGTCACATGTGTAATTTTAGACCTAAAATAGCAAGGGCAAAGAACAGGTGCCATCAAGTCAATCTATTTTATTTAAGCAAATAAATCCAAATTATGGGGGTGCTGGATAGTTTTTGACATAACTAGAGTCATCTGAGAGGAGGGAGCCTCAGTTGAGAAAATGCCTCCATAAGATCTGGCTGTAGGGCATTTTCTTAATTAGTGATTGACGTGGGAAGGCCCAGCCCATTGTGGGTGGGGCCATCCTTGGGCTGGTGGCCCTGGGTTCTATAAGAAAGCAGGCTGAGCAAGCCATGAGGACCTAGGCAGTAAGCAGCACTTTTCCATGGCCTCTGCCTCAGCTCCTGTCTCCAGGTTCCTGCCCTGTGTGGGTTCCTACAGTCACTGCTTTTGATGATCTGTTCCATGGAACTGGGAGTGAAATCAACCCTTTCATACCCAAGTTGCTTTTGTTCATGGTGTTTCATCACAGGCATAGTAATCCCAATGAGACAATGGGGGTGAGGGTGTAGCTTATTGGTAAAACACTTGCTTTTAGTATACAAAGCTTTGAGTTTGATTCTCAGCATTATAAAAAAGTAGCCCCCACAAAAACCCACACCCTAAACTTACATTGTCTTTTTGACATGTTATTGATATAAAAACTAAATTAAACTTTTCATTCTAAGTCTTCAAAATCTGACATATTTTAATTTGTAGAATGTCTTAGGTCAGAGGTTACATTTTCACTGGAAACTCTTTACCTGAATTTAGATTTCATAAACTATGGTTGAAAAAGTAGATTTAGGGCTGGGGTGAGGCTCTGTTGGTAGAGTGTTCACCTAATAGGTACAGCAAAGTCCAAGAAGGCCAGTCTGGGTTCCATGAGACTCTGTCACACACACACACACCAGACAAACAAAAAAGTAGATTTCTGTGCCCACACTGTTCCAACATATGTAAAAGGGTTTTAATAACTGGATTGTCAAGCAAACCTTTCCTCTTAAGTACAAAGCAAAAGCATATCATTTGAAAAAAACATGTCCACATTACCTGAATTCAAATTATATGTCAGCTCATTTTCTTAATGTTGGACTTAAAGGGGTATTGAACATATTGAAAAGTAACTTTAAGTTACTTTTGACATATTTTCAATTTTTTAGTTTTTCAGCCAACATTCACAAAATCATTACAAGCAAAACCTTCTGGGTTTTGTTGCATGATAAAAATATGTAAAAATCATGGTTATTGGCATGTATGAAATTGGAACACAAGTTATCATATGTGTATGATAGATTACAAAGTTTTTTCTTCCTTGACCTGTACATTTAGCTTATGTGTCAATAATGAATATATGTGAGGTTTTGTGTAACACTGCCATTCATAAAAATCTATGAATATTGAATGAAATAATGGCTTACTGGGTGAAAATAATGACTTGGCAAGTATTTCTACTTCAAGAACGTATGAATTGGAGTGAATACAGGAAAATGCTTTCATCTCTCCACCAGAGAGCATTGGGAGAAAACACTCACTCATTAAGGTCACTGTCTTCTGTTGGATTTGTTTGTTTGTTTATCAGTAGTTTCCTGAACTGGTGATTCAGGTGACATGGCGTTTGTATACTGAGCCCTTTGGGCAGCTGTAGCCATGATACTTTTTATGGAGTGGGCCCTGAAAACAAATGTTTCCAGTTTGTATCATCAGGTGCAGGGAAGCAAGTGTTTCCAATATGTACTGTCTGGGAATGAGTAAAAAAGGAAACATCTATTACCATCCCAGTGAATCCACATTTTAACCCAACCTGGTGAAGTTCTGTCTGTTAGGACAGAAACTAATTTTTTACATGTACATGAAATTCTTTGATAGATGCCAAATGTTAAAAGATGCCTACACCATGAGTTCAACATTTTCTAGTCTGAACTTGGACACTATTTTTCCAGATAAGCATGCCCAAAGCATTAGTTGGGCAACATCTGCTTACATCATAATTTATGTAAGGCTAAGGAAAACTTTAATAATTTAAAATTTTTCAGTTTTTGGTATTAGAGTTTGTAGCCAATGGCTGCTTGGGGATTAACTATAAAACTTGAGAAATATCTGTCTTAGGGTTACTATTGCTGAGATGAAGCACCTTGACATAAAGCAACCTGTGGAGGGGGAAGGGTTTATTTGGCTTACACGTCTACATCATAGTCCATCATCAAAGGAAGTTGGAACAGGAACTCAAACAGGTCAGGGACCTGAAGGCTGGAGCTGACGCAGAGGCCATGGAGGAGTGCTGCTTACTGCCTTACTCCTCATGGCTTGCTCAGCCTGCTGTCTTACAGAACCCAGAACTACAAGCCCAAGCATGGCCCCACCCACAATGGTCTGGACCCTCCTCCATCAATCACTGATTATGAAAATGCTCTACAGCTGGGTCTTAACCAGAGATGCCTTTTCTCAGTTGAGGATCCTCCTCTTGGATGACTCTAGTTTGTGTCAAGTTGACAGAAAACTGGTGAACACAATATCTTTTCAAGGTCTTTTTTTCCTTAAAATAATTTATTTCGGGGTTAGGGATTTAGCTCAGTGGTAGAGCACTTGCCTAGCAAGCACAAGGCCCTGGGTTCAGTCCTCAGCTCCGAAAAAAAAAATTTTTTATTTCATCGTCTGTCCATGTACAGTGGTTTTCTTTTTGTGTCAGAATGAAAGCTATTTTATGGCCAGCGGAAGTTACAAGTTTAGGTCCTGTTAAAAAGTTGTTGGCAGGCCAGAGGATGTATAGCTCAGTTGGAGAGGGCTTTCCTGGATGTGGGAGTCCTGGATTCTCTCCTCAGCATTGCAAGAGGAAAGATACGTTTAAGAATGTTTGTGTTTAGGGATTGGAGAGATGGCTCAATGGTTAAGAGCACACACTGCCCTTGCGGGGGATGTAAGTGTGGTTGCCAGCACCCACAGGGCAGCTCACAATCATGTCTACCCTTCAGCTCCAGGGCATCCTATGCCTGCCCTTGGCACATGCACTCACATGTGCACATGCACACAGATACACACACACACACACACACACACACACACACACACACACAAATATAGTAAAATAAATCTTTTTTAAAATAATGTTTTGGTTAGGTATTTATGATCTCAACCACTAATATTGTTGATTCTTTCTTGACTGAGGAGGGAAAAGTGTTTATCAAATATTCTTTGCTGAAAATATTGCCTTTACCAAACAGACTGCTTTTTCATTTTATTGTGCCATGAGCAGAGCCGTGACACTGATTGTGAATTTTTGGCATATCTTTTCCAGTTATTTCATTTGCTTATTCATTTTTCTCTTTACTCTCCTGGGCATTTTCTTAGCTTCTGCGTCCCTCTTTCAATTTCTTAATAGTTCGCCTTTGTTTTAAATTTTAAAATTGTCGATATGCACTTATTATTTTATGTGAATGAGTGTTTAACTTGCATGTATGTATGTGTTCCACATGCATGCAGTGCCTGAAGAAGCCGAAAGAGAGTGTCAGATCCCGGGATGGTTGTGAGCCACCATGTGTGTGCTGAGAACCACACCCAGGTCCTCTGCAGGGACAGCAAGTGCTCTTGACCACTGAGCCACCTCTCCAGCACCGGTGTTTATTTTTTTAAACTAGAAAAACAGTCACATTCCACCTTAGATGCCACTCATGGTGTGCATAGCTAACTTTTCTCACTGTATAATGAACACATCACATTTCATCTATGTACAGAAAAAAGGCATTGCTTGAGCTGAATTGATCTGTTGTTCCTGGATAGAACAGTGGTGCTTTTGTGCACGCTCCTAGAAACAACACCCGTGTGTGAACAACATCTGTGCGTGACCTGAGTGTTGCAGTACAATAATAAAGGAAATGTCATCCTGATAAATCAATAAAGCTGTGCTTACTGGAAAAAATATTAGTGCTGTGCATTAGTTTTCTGATTAAAATTATAGTTGATAGTTTACTTCCTGAGTCTTACTGGCCACCGTTCAAATGCTCAGTGGCTGCATGTGACCCATGACTGTACAGGACAGTGGTGTAGAGCTGAACATCTAAGGAGCTAGAAGTTTGTCCATTTATATTTCTGAGTCTCTTTGGGTTGAAGAAACTTTCAAATCCTGTTTGTTATTAAAATGGCTTTATTTAAAAAACCGTGTGTGTGTGTGTGTGTGTGTGTGTGTGTACACACATGTATTTGATAACCATGTGTATGGAGGCCAGAGAATAACTTCAGGCCTCTGGTGTCATTCTTAAGTACTAGTCACCTTTCAAAAAATTTTTTTTCTTTTTTCTTTTCTTTTCCTTTTTTTTTTTTTTTTTTTTTTTTTTTTTTGGCTAGGCGTGGTGGCACGGGCCTTTTATCCCAGCACTTGGGAGGCAGAGGCAGGAGAATCTCTGTGAGTTAGAGACCAGCCTGATCTACAGAATGAGTTCCAGGACAGCCAGGGTTACAGAGAGAAACCTTGTCTTGAAAAACCAAAACTGTTTTGAGACAGTAGGCTTAGCTGACTGGCCAGCTAAGCCCTGGGGATCTGTGTGTCTCCCGCTCCCCGCCCTCTGGACTTAGAAGTGCACGTCACAGTGTGCTGCCTTCCGTGGGGGTTCTAGAGATCAGTTCAGGTCCTCCTCATGCCTGCAAACCGAGCACTTTACCAGCTGAGCCATCTCTCCAGCCATTGGATATAAAATCTTCATCTAAAATGTGGTTTTTGCTCTTTGCTCAGACTGGGTGTTGTAGATGAGTCTTGATACAGAACTCACATGAGCAGTTCTGTTCTAGACGGAAGAGGGCATGGCAGCTTCAGGGAGGCCTGCGCTTGTCCTCAGTGACTCCAATTCCTGGGGATAGGTTTAACATGAGAGTTAGGACCCAGGAGTTTGGAGTTGGCATCCTGGCTGGACCTTGCACACATGTGATGTAGGAACTTGACATGTCTGTGACTCAGTTCTTCATTTGTGGAACAGGTTCTTGAAGCCCCAGATTTGGGAGTGGCCGGAGAGTTGGTGTGGTGGGAAGCCCTCGCATTTACCTGCCTTGCCCAGGGCCTGACTTTATCTTCTGTGGGGTTATGTCATTCTGGGAGCAGAAGGCATTTCCTTAGGTCCGCTCCTGTCCTGTGTCCCATTGGGAGGACCCTTCTTTATTCTACCAGGATAACAGCCTGAGCTAAAAGCAAGAAACAAAGGACTTAAAAATAGTGTTTGGATGATTCAGACTGAGTAATTAAGTAGACAGAGTCTCTTTTCTCCCCTAAATTTTCCTCCAGCTGCACCAAGATGGTATTTTTGCTAGCTATTCAAGTATTTTTCTCTCTTCTCACTTTTTTTTTTTCAATGTAGACCAAGTTGGCCTCCTACTCTAGAGATCCCCCTGCCTCTGCCTCCCAGTGCCAGGATTAAAGGTGTGCTCCCGTTTTTATTTGGATCTAGCTAGTTGAAACATATTGGCTGAAAGGTGTCAGTTTAGGGTTGCATTGAGTTTCTACAGAGATACATTTAAAAAGAGTTGAATTCTGAGCCTCGGGGAGTTTTGCTGTTGTGGTGATGTTGTCTGGAGCCAGGGCCTCCTGTGGTCCACGCTGCTCTCCAGACCTTGAACTTCTGCCCTTTCTTCTCCCACCCCTCGAATACTAGGATTGTAGACATGCACCACCCATCTGGTATGTGGTGCTGAGATCAAACCTGGGGCTGCTGTCCTTTTATTTAATTGTTGCTGCCTTTTTTTCCCCCAGAGACAGGGTTTCTCTGTGTAGCGTTGGAGCCTGTCCTGGATCTTGCTCTGTAGACCAGGCTGGCCTCGAACTCACAGAGACCCACCTGGCTCTGCCTCCCGAGTGCTGGGATTAAAGGTTTACGCCCTCACCATCCGGCTGCTTGTTGCTGCCTTTTAAGCCACGGCTGTCCGAATCAGCAACTGCAACTCCACTGCTGCTGCAGCACTCAGGCCCCAAGGGCCAGAGCCGGAGGGAAAGCTGTTCCCTCAGTCACTGACTCTTTCAAAGCCAGGAAGGGAACTTAACTAAATCTCTGTCCCTCCAAAGAACTCCAGATTCAAAGGTTAAGGTGGAATTCTGCTCCTCAGAGAGGCTGAATAGCAAGTAGCTCACCTCCTCTCCTTACTCACGTCCTCCAAAAAGCCCTGGTGCTTCTCCTCACTCCTCCTTATAAACCCTTTGTCACGTGGCTCCTCCCTACCACTTCCTGTCAGCTAGTTGCTGATGCAGCTTCCTGACCACAGGTGAATTTTATTTAATCAAACATATCTTTGCATCATTAAACAAATGTTCCAGAGCATAAACAAAAGTAACACACCTTAAAATAATATTCTACAACCTAGGGCCCCACACTCCCAGCCCACTGTGAGCCTTTGGATTAACCAGGACGTGGCTTTGGATCCACACCAGACAGTGTGATGCATTAGAGGTCTGCCTTACAGGCTAAGTGTGAATAGAGAAGAAACCAGACTGGGCGTTGGCTTCTGGAAAAGCTTTGGGGGGAAAGCAGCAGCCTTTCTGAGCAAGGTGACATCAACAGAGACTGACCCTCTGTCATCTGCCAGGCTAGTCAAGACCAGTCCAGAGCTGTCTGAGTCCTGCACATGGTTCCCCGAGTCCTATGTGATTTATCCAACTAACCTCAAGACACCGGTCGCTCCAGCGCAGAATGGCATCCAGATTCCGATCAGTAACTCCAGGACGGATGAGAGAGAATTCTTCCTGGCTTCTTATAACAAAAAGAAGGAGGATGGGGAGGGCAACGTTTGGATTGCAAAGTCGTCCGCTGGTGCCAAAGGTGAGTTACCATTGCCACCCTCTGTCACTTGTGGGATCCTGTAGAGCGTCATTCCGTGGCACGCTGGAATTTAATGAAGAATTTATTTCTTTGTTTTGTGAGCAGCATGTATGCCAAGGTGTGCACGTGGAGGTCAGAGCGCATCCTTCAGAAGTCGCTTCTCTCCTTCCACTGTATGGGTCTCAGGGACTGAATTTCGATTGTTAGGGTTGACAGCAAGTGCCTTTACCCACTGGACCATTTCACAGGCCCTAACTGATGTATCTAGATGAATGACTCCATTCAGAATCGTCACAATCAGAAGACCATGTCCAGTTTTTTTCTGGGGAAAAAAAAAATTTTATTTTTGAGATAAGATCTCATGTAGCCTAGGCTGGCCTCAAACTCTTAAGTGTCCAAGAATGACCTGGAACTCCTGATCCTGCTGCCTCTGTCCGTGTGAGTGCTAGGATTACAGGCATGCACTCCCACACTTGGTTTTATTGGGCTCTGGGGATGGAACCTGGGGCTTTATGTATGCTAGGCAAAGACTCCACCTACTAACTTAGGCTACAGTCCTTTAAAGATTTCTGTGGCCTCCTGAGAGTTTATTGCCTGAGTCTTCACTTTAAGCTCTGGATTCAGTGGTACCCTCGCTGTCTCTAAAAGGCGTTTCAGACTCAAAGTGTCTGACACAGAACTTTTCATATCCTTCCCACCTTAGCCGGCTCCTTCACACTTCCTGTTTAGTGTATGATCCCACGGTCCACCCCGTCTCTGAAGCCCAAATCTCAGGTCCCTCCTTTTCTTTATAATCTCTACCAAGTGCATTAATGTCTTGCCAGGGCTACCTTAACATCCATTCAGGATCAGGTTCTTATATTTCATTGCTCCCACTCTAAGTCAGAGCCACCATATTCTCTCTAGACAGTTGCTGCGGTATGACCCTCAGCCAGCTCTCATCTTCCAGACAGAGTGATGATTTAAAAACCCAAATCTGATCATGTTACTTCCTAATGCATTTAGGATGGCTCCAGAGTCCTGGTGGGGGCTGACCCCATCGGACACTTCCTGGTGTCTCTGATGTCATCTCCTATTCTTGGCCTTGCTCACTGTGTTGTAGACACAGAGACCGCCTTGGGTCCCTTAAATGCACACATAAATTATACCTGGAATGTGTCTCCATCAGCTCAAACATTGCCTTGTCAGAGAAGGCTCTTCTGGTCTACAGTGGCCTCCACACCGATTGCTTTCTGTGTCTTTAACCTGTATGTGCTAGTGTCTTCCCAAGACTGTGCTACACATCTGCCCATTTCCTTTACATATGTAAGCCCTATGTAAGCACAGATTTTGTGTCTTGTTTGCTTCTGTACCCTCTACACAGGCACTCAGTACGTGTGTGGAATGGATGCCTAGAAAGGGATAAGACTCACAGTGTCAACTCAGGCTTAAGACTCACAGTATCAACTCAGGCTTAAAACAGAGAAGGCTCCTAATGTAATAAGCACACGGTCTCCCTCATAACTACTGTCATGTGCTCTTTTTTATTTATTTTTTTCATGTTTTTTTTTTTCATGTGCTCTTTTTAAAACTATAGTATCTTGAATTTATTTTTTCATGGTTCAGAAGACCATCTGGCCCTTGTTACTCATTTCTGTCTCTGCTCCACTGGACCTCAGCTTCTCCTCCACCAATCGTAGGCCAGGAAGGCATCCTTGGGAATCTTCTGAAAATGGGTGAAGTGAAGCCTTGCACAAGCCTGGGGCCTCACCTGCTTCTGCTTCTCTGTTGTAACGCCACTATCTTTTGGCTCTGGTGGCTAACTGGGGACTTGGAAGATTAGGCATCTATGGTATTCTAGAGTGTGGTCCAGAAGTCAGGGTGCCATCTGGAGGACATCAGTGGTCCCTGGGCCCCACCAAGACAAGGCAGAGAAGCACCAAGCATCAGCAAGCGGCAAACAGAGAATAACATTTTGAAGAATCTTGTTTTAAGGGTTGAGGAGATAAAGGGTGCCTATTAGCATTTCCCAGGGTGGGGACGCAAGAATGAAATTAACAGAATGAATGTTTGTCTTTTATGCTTGGTAAACAGGTAATACTCGTGCCCACTATGTAGTTGGCGTAGTTGACTCCAAGTTCCGAATGTATCCAGCATCTAGCCACTGCTCATCACCATCTTGATCCATCTCTGTGCTGGGCGCTTCACTCCTCACATGACACGCCGTCCTCCCTCCTCTCTCCTCAACTATTGTCCTCAGTCTGTGTACAGACAGTGCAGCTGACAGAGACCCTGTTAAAATAAAACCACACCATGCCACACCTGCACCCTACAGGTCTCTGCTTGCCGGGATGGCAACTGGCACCCATCAATTTTAGCATATATGTGAATGAGTGAATGAATGAATGAACAAGTGTTTGGACATTCAAGACTGGAAGAGATAGATGTGACCTTGCGTCCCTGTGGGCCCACAGTCTTTTCAATGAGATTGTGAAAAGTAACACAGGAAGAGGCAAGGAGATACATTTTTGTAACTATTTTTTAATGTATGGGTTTTGTTTATGTGTATGTCTGTCCACCATATGGATGCAGTGACTGAGAAGAAGGCATTCAGATCCCCTGAAATGGGAGTTACAGAATGTTGTGGGCTGCCGTGTAGATGTTGGGAATCGAACCTAGGTTCTTGGAAGAGCAGCTAGTACTCTAAACCAGTGGGCCATTTCTCCAGATTTTTTTTTTTTTTTGTGGTTTTTCAAGACAGGGTTTCTCTGTGTAGTTTTGGTGCCTATCCTGGAACTCACTCTGTAGACCAGGCTGGCCTCGAACTCACAGAGATCCGCCTGGCTCTGCCTACCGAGTTCTGGGATTAAAAGTGTGAGCCACCACTGCCTGGCCCAGACCTTATTTTTATAACTTTTAAAAATCACTATCACATAGTAAATGTGACAGCAAAGGGGAATGGAAGAGTCTTAGTTCATAATGTAATTGCTTTTCGTGTTTATTGTCTTCTGTCATAAGTGGGCAAGACCTGGTTCATTCATCGTGATCCATTGCTTTTCCATATGAGGACATGTAGGAAACAAAATTAAAACACATTTAAAATTATTTAAAGACAATTAAAAAGTGAAACGGTGAGGTGGAGTCTGGGTGGGCTCAGGAGGCTGGAAGTGCTGGAAGGATGGTGAGCGAGGCCAGAGGGCACCCATGGAGTGGGGGCAGGTGTGCTCGCAGACCGCAGAGCTCGGCGGAGGAAGGATGTCGGTTCACCTAGACTGGTCTGTGATTCCAGTTAAGAGCTCAGCAAGGTTTCCCTGTAGTTTCTAAAATTCACATGGAAAAGCACAAGCCATAGAGTATGTTCAGTGATCTTGAAAGAGATAAAGTAAAATCACTCATATCTACTCACTGGGTAGTATTAAGGCGTACTGCATCACTGTGGTGCCCAGGACATGGCAGTGTGGCAGAGGGACAGAAGCATGAATCCACAAGACAGGATCGATAATGCAAAAGTGATCCAAACATAGATGTCCACCTGATTGTTGACAGATGCAAAAGGAATTTGTCTTCCTTTCTCTTCCTGTGGCTGTGATAAAATGTCCTGATCACGTAGCTGAAGGAAGGAAGGGTTCTTTGTAGCTCACCATTCAAGGTACAGTCCACTGTGGCCGGAAGGAAGGACAGCGGGAGCTTGAAGCATCCGGGCATATTGCCTCTGCAGCCTGAAAAGAGAGTGGAGTATGTATGCAGCTCAGTTCCCATTTCCATCTACACAGTCCAGAATCCCCTGCCCAGGGAATGGTCCCACCCACAAGTAAGATGGGCCTTCTCACTTCAGATCATGTAGTCCAGATAATCCCCCCTGCACGGGGTGCCCAGAGGCACAGCTCCCAGGTGATTCTGGAGATCAGATTGACAACAACTGTCAGTCCAAGAAAGGTAGGGCTGGGGGTAGCTTATGTGGGTAAAGCAAGCATGAAGACAGAGTGCAGATCCCCAGAATCCGTGTGATAGCCAGGTGGGCAGGAAGCGCTCTTGTAATCTTGGTGCCTGGAGGCAGTAGCAAGGGCTCCTTGGGGCAAGTTGACTAGCCAGACTAGCTGAAATGGCAAGCTCTGGCTTCAGTGAGAGACCCTGTCTAAATATTTAAAGTCGAAAAGAGCAGTTTAGGAAAGATATCCGGCAGCAAGCTGGGGCCCCTGCACACATGCACATAGTGTGTGTACCAGCATGCACACATGCACCCCCACATATGGAAACATTAATACACACATACGTTCTGCACACTCATGTACATACAAAAAAAGGATAAACATTTCAATAAGTGATGGTATACATAGTATATACATAGAGAAACGAAACATTCAACGTCATACATCAAGCCAAACCTAATTCATAGTTCATGTAAAAGATAAAACTAAAATTGGGTGAGAGAGTGGCAAAGAATCTTTAAACATGATACCAAGAGTGTTAACCCATAAGATCGAGAGCTAGAAATTAAACCTCATGAAAAGAAATCTCTCTCTGTGAAACTTCTCTTGAAAACTTGTTACACCACGAGAACACAAGTGGCCCTGGACTGTGTGATGCAGTTCATATGAGAAGTGCGGGGACGCAGGGCCAGAGAGACAGTGGGTAAGTAGTTGTGAGGGGATGGGGTGAAGAAGGGATGACGGCCACAGAATTTTAAGGGGAGATGATGAAAATGTTCTAAAAATAGATTCTAATGACAGTTGAACTCTTGAATATACTAAAAACCTTCAAATTGTACTTTTACAAAGTTGGATTTCCTAGTGTGGTGTATCTCAATTCAGTTGTTAAAGACCACGTCTCTTGTTATAGTGGATGGACAGTTTCCATGCCATCAGCCTTCTCCAGTGTGCTGCAGGGCACACTGCTTTACCTCTGTGCCCCAACCTTTCTGCTCTGGAATCCTCACCTTCTTGGCATTTCTATAGGGCATTGTCTTCGAAGTGAATTTGATGATCATAGACCATAATCCTTATTATAACCAGTAACCAGTGACAGTGATACCTCTTTTAAAAATATTTTTATTTATTTATATTTATTTGGAGTTTTGTTTTGTTTTGTTTTGGTTTTGGTTTTTCGAAGCAGGGTTTCTCTGTGTAGCTTTGAAGCCTGTCCCAGAACTCAGATTATAGACCAGGCTGGCCTCGAACTCACAGAGATCCACCTGCCTCTGCCTCCCGAGTGCTGGGATTAAAGGCGCGTACCACCACTGCCCAGCTGACAGTGATATCTTAACCTACTCAGAAATTGTATGAATAAAACTGAAATTTCGGGCTAGAGAGATGGTTAGCCAGTAAAGGCACCTGCTGCCAAACCTGATGACCTGAGTTCAATCCCCAGGACCCACATGGTGGAAAGAGAGAACCAACTCCCTTGGCCTCCACACAAGCAGTATAGCATCTACACATACACACACAAAATAATAATTACAATACATTTTAAAACCTGAAACTTCGTGGCTGGCCAAGTCAGTATTGAGAACATAATATAGAGAAAGTTAATAGGATGACCCTGGATGCTCTTCGCAGGGAGTGGGGTGTGTGTGTGTGTGTGTGTGTGTGTGTGTGTGTGTGTGTGTGTGTAACAGGCCAGTAAAACTCTCCTGTAGACTTTTCCATTTCCTCTGGCTTTGATCGGGAGCTGTTCTCCTTGAACTGAGCAGGGCTGATCTCTGTGCTACTTTTATTTTGCCAGGTGAAGGCATCCTCATCTCCTCAGAGGCGTTGGAGCTTCTGGATTTCATAGACAACCAGGGTCAAGTGCACGTGATCCAGAAATACCTCGAGCGCCCTCTGCTCCTTGAGCCCGGCCACCGCAAGTTTGACATTCGGTAATGTTTGCTGTCCACAGCCTTGATTTCAATCCTCTTTTCAGACTGTGTTCGGGCCCGGTGAGAAGCTGTGACTTGGATGGAGCATTTGGCTGTCTCCAGCATGTTGCCACCCTGAGGATAGCGGAGTCTCTCATCTTTGTTTCTGCCCCCCTTTGAGTTCTTCTGTCTAGAAAGTGTTGCTAAGATTGTAGTACCAACCAGTCAAGATGTGGAAAGGCAAGCATGTCACATACATGTGCATGTGTTTATGGGTATTGGTTAACCTCAGACACATCCATAGCACACATCACAATTGTCTAAAAGGAACTCAAGTCTCTCATTATTTATGGTGAAGTACTTCATTTGCTCATTATGGGGCGAACTCATATTTTGGCTAACTCATGGTTTGCCTTCTGTAACTTTAGAGCCTTCTCTTGTTCTTCACTGTCCCATCCCTGCAAAAATTCAGGGTGTGTGCTGGGTGGTTGCATGCACATTTAATCCCAGCACAGGAGGTAGAGGCGGGCAGATGTCTTCAAAGGAGGTTTCTAGGTCAGCCGGGGCCTCACAGTAGGACCCTGTCTCAAAAACAAACAAACAAATAAATAATAAAATAATAATAATACATCAAGGTGTGGAGATTATGTCTAAAAACTTGGGATCTGAATAAAACTGTGTTTGTTGGCTTGCAGAAGCTGGGTCCTGGTTGACCACCAGTATAACATCTACCTCTATAGAGAGGGTGTGCTCCGAACAGCTTCAGAACCGTATCATGTTGATAATTTCCAAGACAAGACCTCCCATTTGACCAATCACTGCATTCAGAAAGAGTACTCAAAGAACTATGGGAAATACGAAGAAGGGAATGAAATGTTCTTCGAGGAGTTCAATCAGTACCTAAGCAGCGCTCTGAACATTACCTTAGAAAGCAGCATTTTGCAGCAAATCAAACACATAATAAGGTAAGATCGTTGTAACCTTTTTGATTGATCTGTTTCTTCTTGCGGGAGCTTTGGGTGTTTATGCCTTTTAAGGGATTTTCCCACTGTCTCATTGATGGACAGAGATCATTTGTAATATTCCTTTATTTTCATTTTAATGTCTGTAGAATCTGTCTGTGGTGAGGCCTCTTCATTTGTTTCAGGTATTGATAATTTTTATCTTCTCTCTAGTTTATTTGGATGGATTTTTTTTAAAAAAAAATCAACTTTTGACCTTATTGACTGGTCTTTTTTTGTTGTTATTGTTGTTGTTTCTTATGGTTTTTGTTATCTTCTCCTGTCTCTTTGAGAAACTTTGTTTTTCATTTACCAGTTATTCAAGGTGAAAGGCTAGATAATTGATTTGAGATGTTTCTGTTAAAAAAGATAAACACAAACATTGTGATAACAAATCATTCAGTGTGTCTATATTTCTTCTGCATTACAGAGATTATATGAGGTTGTGTTTATACTTTTATCATATCAAAATCTTTTTTATTTTCCCTATTGCTCACACCCTGCCTTGTGTAATATAAACATTTTTGCTTATTACCCAGGTGTTTGTGGATTTTCCATAATTCCATCATGGTCATAGGGACATTGTATGGGTTCACTTTTTGTTGTTGTTGTTGTTGTTGTTTTTTTTAATTTATTTTAATTTATTTTGCAATACAATTCAGTTCTACATATCAGCCACGTATTCCCTTGTTCTCCCCCCTCCCGTCCCCCTCACCTTTCCCCCCCCCCCCATTCCCATCTCCTCCAGGGCAAAGCCTTCCCCACAGACTGAGGTCAACCTGGTAGACTCAGTCCAGGTAGGTCTAGTCCCCTCCTCCCAGGCCGAGCCAAACAATCCTGCATAGGCCCCAGGTTTCAAACAGCCAACTCATGCAATGAGCACAAGATCTGGTCCCACTGCCTGGATGCCTCCCAAACAGATCAAGCCAATCAACTGTCTCACCCATTCGGAGGGCCTGATCCAGTGGGGACCCCTCAGCCATTGGTTCATAGTTCATGTGTTTCCATTCATTTGGCTATTTGTCCCTGTGCTTTATCCAACCTTGGTCTCAACAATTCTCGCTCATATAAACCCTCCTCATTCTCGCTAATTGGACTCCCAGAGATCCACCCAGGGCCTAGTCATGGATCTCTGCATCCAGATCCCTCAGTAGTTGGATGAGGTTTCTAGCACAACAATTAGGGTGTTTGGCCATCCCAAGATCCAGCTATACCACTCTTGGGCATATACCCAAGAAATGCTCAACCACACCATAAGAGCACTTGTTCAGCTATGTTCATATCAGCATTGTTTGTAATAACCAGAACATGGAAACAACCCAGATGCCCTTCAACTGAAGAATGGATAAACAAAATGTGGTACATATACACAATGGAATACTACTCAGCAGAGAAAAACAATGGCATCATGAGGTTTGCAGACAAATGGATGGATCTAGAAAAAATCATCCTGAGTGAGGTAACCCAGACTCAGAAAGACAAACATGGTATGTACTCACTCATAGCAGGATACTAGACATGAAACAAGGATGACTTGTCTGCTACTCACATCACCAGGGAGGCTACCTGGAAAACAGGACCCCAAGAAAGACACAGGGATCACCCAATGACAGAGAAATGGAAGGAGATCTACATGAACAGCCTGGACATGAGTGGGGGTAATGAAGGGCGAAGGCCGAGGGAAAGAGAGCTTGGGGGAGCGGGAGATCCCAGCTGGATCAACAACAGAGAGGGAGAACAAGGAATCGGAGGCCATGGTAAATGAAGACCACATGAGAATAGGAAGAAGCAAAGTGCTAGAGAGGCCCACAGAAATCCACAAAGATACCCACACAACAGACTGCCGGCAATGGTCAAGATACAGCCTGAACTGACCTACTCTGGTGATGGGATGGTTTCACTTTTATTGTCTATAATTTTTAGTTTTGGCAGGTGTAGATATGTGAGGTATGTGTGTCTGTGTGTGTGTGTTCACACGTGTATGTGCAGGGGCCTGTGCACGTGTGAGTTCACATGGGTGCTTGTGTGGGTAGGGACCAGCCTGCACCTTACATATTGAAGCAGAGTCTCCCAGTTGACCCCAGAGCTCACTGATTTCATCTGCTCCAGCCAGACATCTAGCTGTAGGGATCCTGTCTGCACATCTTGTATTTAGTAGTCTATCTTGTGCTTGTATTTGCTACTCCTGACTTGTTTCTAATGTCTTTTTTCCTTCTTGATTCATTCCTTAGTATAACTAGAAGCAGATTTTTAGTGTCAGTATTCTTTATTATAGGTCCCAAAACCTAGTAATTTTAAAAAATGAAGTATAATACCCCAGAGTATGTAGGGTTCAATGAGTTTTAAGTTATGCACATACTCACCTAACCATGAACATACAGATCATGATATAAAATATTTATAGTATGCACGCTTCCTTGATCCCAGCACCTGGTAGACTGAAACGGCAGGTTTGGGGGCTCCAGGCTAGTCTGGGCTATGTTAAATGAGACCCTGCCCCCAGAATAGCGAGAGGGAGGGAGGGAATGAATTTGGCATTCCCAGAGACTCCTTTTCACTCCCTTAAGATAAGATCTCTTGACAAAGGTAACCTTTCCTTTCCATCACTACAGAGTCCCGTCTGCTTTTTTTTTTTTTTTTTTTTTTGGTTTTTCGAGACAGGTTTTCTCTGTGTAGCTTTGCGCCTTTCCTGGATCTCGCGCTGTAGCCCAGACTGGCCTCGAACTCACAGAGATCCGCCTGCCTCTGCCTCCCGAGTGCTGGGATTAAAGGCGTGCGCCACCACCGCCCGGCATCTGTCTGCTTGTTTTAAACGGTGTAAATGGAATTGCACTGTGGTTCCTGTTTTAAATTCAATTCTTGTCAACCTCATGGCGCTGTATTGATCTACACAGCAGTAGTTTTTTCCTTTTTTGTTACTGTGTATTATTTCATTGTATGACTATGGGTTTTATTCCTTACGTTTTATTTTGTTCACCTTTCTTTTTTTTTCCTTATTTCTTATATTCTAGACCTATGCTTTATCCGGAATTTATTACATGTCAAGTTCTCTGGTAGTAATAGGTTGGAGATGGTTAGAATTCCTACACCGAGAAAATAAAATACACAGAAGTAATCCCGACTTCTCACTGTTTATTGGGTGCTTCCTCGCCCCCTGCTGGTCATTCCGTGCAGTGCAGGGGTGCTGTTCCTGAATGTTGCTCATAGCTCTCAGCTTTTCTTTTTCCCCAGACAGCCTCCTGTTGACTCCCACTCCAGCTAAAAAAAAGGTGCACTGCCTGCGTCTTCTAATGATGAAAACCCCTTCACTGTGGATTATTCATCCTCGCCTCCCAGCAGATAAAAAGTCTAGCCTTGTGCGTCAGCTCGCAATGCTTGCTTTTTCATTCTTTTCTGTGGTTGCCCCTTCATTAAACCTCCACTTCTTCTTAATTATAGTATTTTAAATATATTTTAATTAAAACACTTTGAAATAGCCAGGCGTGGTGGTGTGTTTACCACTCTTGAGACGGTGGAACCTGGGAGAATGGAGCCAATAAATGGGCAGACGAAAGTCTCCTGCAGCAGCCAACTTTATTCAGACAGTTTGTACTCTGAGGGTTAAGGAGAATCACCCGAGTAAAGTGTCCGCTCACAAGGACAGACCTCCTCTGTTTACTCAGTATGTTTGTAAGGTCCGATTTTAACTTTTTTCTGAGTTATTAAAATCTAGTTAAAAATAATAGTCGGTGCCGATAAGAATTCTGCATTAGATCTCAATATTTCGTTTGATTTTTTTTTTTTTTGGTTTTTTGAGACAGGGTTTCTCTGTGTAGCTTTGCTCCTTCTCCTGGATCTCGCTCTGTAGACCAGGCTGGCCTTGAACTCACAAAGATCCACCTGCCTCTGCCTTCCGAGTGCTGGGATTAAAGGCGTGCGCCTAAATAAATAAAATATATTTAGTTTGAATACATGTAATCCTCACTGTTTCATTAGCAGTACTCGGCAGTAGATCTGGAGCTGGGAAGAGAAATCAGTGCTGCCCAGCTTCCTTTCTGCAACTCCTGCTTTAACTGGCATTTTCCAACAAATGCCAGGCCACTTTTCACATGGCAAAATGCAGGGTGTGGCTGAGGAGATGACTCAGTTGGTAAAGTCGTGGTTAGAGCCTGGTGCAGTGCCTTGAAACGCCAGCCCTGTGGAGGCAGAGACGGGCAGATGGCTGGGATAGCCATGAACAGCTCTGGCAGCAGCTGGTGACATCTGCACGGGTGGAGATGCATGGTGACTTGGTGCCGAGCTGCCCGTCGTGGGGCCTGAGCTAGCAGCTTTGACCTGGAAGAACAGGAGCCATGCATGCGTCCCTAACAAGTTGTTTGATAAGGAGCCTTCTCTTGAGTAATCTGTGGGTGGATTTATCGATTGAAAAAGATAAGTAAGCTGAAGCTGATTTTTATGCCCACTTGGTACACGACCTTCCAGGCATAGTCTGTGTGTTTGTTCTGCCCCTGCCACTCCGTTCTCAGCGAGCTCTCCCCGTTTTTTAACCGCGCAGGAGCTGCCTCATGAGTGTGGAGCCGGCCATCAGCACCAGACACCTCCCTTACCAGAGCTTTCAGCTCTTCGGCTTCGACTTCATGGTGGACGAGGAACTGAAGGTCTGGCTCATCGAAGTCAACGGTGCCCCTGCGTGCGCTCAGTAAGCCTGAACCCGCCTGTGTTGAACAACTCAGAGTTGGCCGTGCACCTCGGGTAGTCTGACAGGTTCAAGCATGGACCCCTTGATTGCCGTCAGGCTAGCTGTCACAGTGAGGGGAGTCCTTGGGGAGACCCTGGCTGGCAGGAAGGCTTAGCGGAGCTGTTTCCCTGGGTGTGCCGGCCACCAGGGTCTCAAACAAGACTAGGCTGGGTGTGATGGGTTAGACCTGTAAGCTCAGCACTAGAGAGGCTTAGGCAGGAGGATCACTGTGGGTTCGAGGCCATCCTGGGTTACACAGTGAATTCCAGGATGGCCTGGGCTGTAGAGTGAGATCCTGCCTCCAAGTAACAACAGAAATAATCCCCACCCCAAACTAAGAGAAACCCTGCCACCGTCACGTTCATGTGACAAGTTGAATAAGCTGGACCCCGTGAGGAAGAGAAACAGTGAAATTCAAGGGCTGCCAGGCAGGAGGTGAAGACACAGTAGAGCCTGAGCTAGGATGGAAGACCGCAGGGCTCGGCTGCACAGCGGGGAGACAGTTCAAAGGGACACGGGGACCTTGCTTTGTGCTGGGCTGTGTGCCAGATTAGGTGCTCAGCTGAGGAGAACCGGCCCTCAGAAGCAGGAAGGCATTGTCTTCCTCCTGTGTGGAGCTAGTGTGTGGAGCGTAGGAAGGGCAGGAGGAGAGTGAGTTGGGTTTCCTTTGGAGGGTCTTGCTGGACAGGCAAGCCATGAGGGCATGACCCTCCTTTGTTGTCTGATGTTCTGAAGATGCACTTTCATCATGTCAAGAACCTTCCATGGATCTCATGTCTACCTCTTGGAGAAGCTGAGGTGTTTTTCCTGTGGTTTAGGAGAAAGCCCCACCCACAGGGGACAGTGGGAACACATAATAGTTTAAAGGCCAGGCCTTTGCCACTTACTAGATGATTCACGTGCATTTTTCAGTCCCTGCAGCCAACAGGTGTCTGTTAGGCTCTGCCTAACCTTCCTGGTCCCACAGTGAGTGTGGGTTCTTGGGAAGGATTGTGGGTAAGGGAACGGACCCGGTGAATGTGATTGCAGACTGAGACAAGCGTTCTAGTAGAGAAGAAGGTCAAATGACGTAACCCAGGCCCTCTCAGGGTGACGGCTAGAACTCAGACCTGGAGGAAGACTGGCAAGAGATGCTGAGGGTGGAGGGGGGCAGGTGGTCCTTCAGTCCTCCCTCGGCATCGACAGCCTTGTGTCTAGTGTTTCCTCCTGCCCCGTCTATCAAAGGCACACTCCCCCAGAGTGCTCTGCCCACCCTCCCCTCCTGAAGCCCTTCCATCTTCTCCGTTTTCCATGCCCCCTCTCCTTCATGCCTGTGGGGCTCCCAGTACCCCGTGGCTGGATTGATTCTCCAGCTGCTTCTCCATGAAACTGCACTCTGCTCCAGGGAGTGCACCCCTCACCTGCCCCCTTGGTGGACCAATCTGTGGACCACAGCGCTTTCATGAGCTGCCTTTTCTTCCTCCAGGAAGCATCCTTTGAAATGACCAACCTGCCTGCAGTGATGTCCTCATTTCCCTGGGGCAGCTTTGGAGGCGCCTGCCTCCCTCTTGCTGAGTCTGTTCTCTGTGGCTTCTTGTCCCTGTATTCCAGATGGGCCTGCGTAAGGGGGCTGCAAGCAAGCTGGACTCTCTCTTCCTCACCAAGGAGCTCAGGTTCTGGCTCTGGGTGGCCTTTAGCTCTCTGCTCCACTTCCCTGTATGTGTTCTTATTTATCTTCATTGTAAAGCCACCAAGTTAATACAGCTCCTGAGTTCTAGACCTGCGTCTGCGCCTGTGAGGATGTCTGTGAGTCTAACAGGAAGCACCACCCCCTTGTCCTCCTCCTTGTCCAGACTTTTCCATAGCTCCTTGGGAACTAGCATAGAGCTTGCCTTCTGCTCCCATCCATCCCTTCAGTCCACGGGTCGTGTGGACTCGGCCTCCAGCCTCCTGTTCCTTAGTCTCTTCGTGTGAGTCACATCCCTTCACTGGGGGAAGTTTGCAAAGAGCCTCCTTACCAGAATGTCTATTTCTGCACTGCCCCCGTAAAATCCTTCCTTCCCAGAGCAGCCGGGGTGAGAAAATAGAAGCCATACCCCCCCCCCTTCTGCCTCGCCTGCCCCTGCAGCTCCACTGAAGATGGATGCCGTTCCCTAGAACAGCTCTTCCCCGCCATGTGCTCTTTGCTTTCTGTGGAGTCCCTGCCTCCCTCACTAAGGCTCCCATTTTCTCTACCCCGAGCCTTAGTGTCTCTTCCATTGGATTAGTTGCTATCAGACGACCAGTGTCTGTTTTCTTTACGGAGTGTTCACACGGTGATGTCTCCAGCCTTGTTTTCCTTGCCCGCGTTTGAATCTTTGAGCCTGGCCCTGTGCCTGCCACGCAGTTCTCTGTCCGTAGTCTTTGAATGAGCAAACCATACTTCCTGGATAAGAGGTTTTCACTCACTTGACTTTTTTTTTCTCTTTCTTTATGATTGTGTGTGTGTTTGTGTGTGGGGGGGCACGTGTGCCACAGCATGTGTGTGAAGGTCAGTTCTCTCTTCGCCTTTACATGGGTTCTGGGGACTGAACTCAGGTCGTCACACCTATGCTGTAAGTGCCTTCTCCCACTGAGTGTCTCGCCAGCCCAGCCTCACCTGATCTACAGTAGTTTGGATTTTATTTAAGTAGAGATGTCTTTATATTGTCTTTCTATTAGCTAATAACTGTAATGCTTAAATACAAAAGATTTCTTTATATTACGCCCAACCTTATGTGCCAACCCAAATTCTTCTAGTGACATGGTTCTATGCATGGATCCCCTAGGGTTGGGCTTCCAGTGATGGCCTGGTGGCTGTGAGATACCTGTGCCACATCAATCTTCCCGTGTCGCCAGTGGTTAAGATACACGTTGGCCTGGCCACCTTGAAGCTGGTCTGAGTATCAGTTCTTTGCTCCAGCTCTCCTCATGGGAGAGGCTCACAGGAGTAATTTATGTGCACAGTATGTTTTTATAGCTTGTGGTTCTTGGGGAACTAACACCCTTCACTGAAGGGCTGCCGTGGCTCTGTCCCTTCAGAAACGGGAGCTTGAATAATTGGGCTACTAAACTGTTGAAAATGGGACTTGATTGTGTGAACACAGGGAAGGGCTGGGGAGTTGGGAGTGGAGAGAGGAAAGAGCAGGACAGATGAAGGTCAGCCAGCACTTAGGACTTCCTAAGAGAGAAAGTGGAAGCATGGCTTCCCAGAGGTCTTATAACAGGGTGAAACGCAGACCTAGCAGCCTAGGGTATAGGGGTGGGAGAGGTTTCTCTGTGATGGGGGAGTCCGCTGGGTGGACATGTCACTGTGCAACAGGGATGGGAATGGCGTAAGAGGACCTCCTCCTCGCTGGTGGGACACAGCATCTTCTGGGAATTAGACTGGTTAAGACCTTGGATTTGGCCACTTGGATTCCCAACACCTCCTGAGCAAGTTGTGGGGGTCACATCAGCCAAAGCCTCATTTCAGATGTTTCCTCTGCTCCTCACATCTCAGGCTGCTGCTTGCTCTAAGCTTCCATCCCAAGCAGCTGGCTCTGGGGACTCGTGCTGCCCAATCAGAGAGCTGGTCCCCTCCTGTGCCTTCCGCCTTGCAGTTGTGGTTGTTAGTGGTCGGCAGCACTGGAGGGAAAGCCCTGGTGTGCTGATTGGAACCACAGCAAAGGAAACAAGAGGATGGGCTTTGTTGTCCCTGGAGGAGGTTAAGCCCACTGGACCGACTACCTTGGCCTCAGGGAATCTTCAACACACTGCTCCACTTTCCGGTTCCGCTTCTCCCAGTTACCCTGAGTTCTTCTGTCTTGTCGGTATAGACTATGTTCCCTTCACACTACTTCTCTCACACCAGCATGCACACTCACAGCCTCCTTCCCTCTCTCTCACACCAGCATGCACACTCACAGCCTCCTTCCCTCTCTCTCTCCAGCATGCACACTCACAGCCTCCTTCTCTCACTCTCACACCAGCATGCACACTCACAGCCTCCTTCCCCCTCTCACACCAGCATGCACACTCACAGCCTCCTTCCCTCTCTCTCACACCAGCATGCACACTCACAGCCTCCTTCCCTCTCTCTCACACCAGCATGCACACTCACAGCCTCCTTCCCTCTCTCTCACTCCAGCATGCACACTCACAGCTTCCTTTCCCCTCTCTCACACCAGCATGCACACTCACAGCCTCCTTCCCCCCTCTCACACCAGCATTCACACTCACAGCCTCCTTCCCCCTCTCACACCAGCATGCACACTCACAGCCTCCTTCCCTCTCTCTCACACCAGCATGCACACTCACAGCCTCCTTCCCTCTCTCTCTCCAGCATGCACACTCACAGCCTCCTTCTCTCACTCTCACACCAGCATGCACACTCACAGCCTCCTTCCCCCTCTCACACCAGCATGCACACTCACAGCCTCCTTCCCTCTCTCTCACACCAGCATGCACACTCACAGCCTCCTTCCCTCTCTCTCACACCAGCATGCACACTCACAGCCTCCTTCCCTCTCTCTCACTCCAGCATGCACACTCACAGCTTCCTTTCCCCTCTCTCACACCAGCATGCACACTCACAGCCTCCTTCCCTCTCTCTCACACCAGCATGCACACTCACAGCCTCCTTTCCCCTCACACCAGCATGCACACTCACAGCCTCCTTTCCCCTCACACCAGCATGCACACTCACAGCCTCCTCCTCGGACCCACGGCCTCTTTCCCTTCTTCTTCCCTGCCTTTCCAAGCCGTCATCTGTTCTGTGTCTGCCTGCTCTCCGTTTCCTGGGAACCATCCTAACTGTCAGTCTCAGAGTCTTAGCTAGTGCCCATCTTCCCTTGGAAGGTGGGGATTTTCTTGGATGATGCCTACCCCGCATGTACTCACTCCCTCACAGACAGGCGAGGTGGGGCTCCTGACGCTACTGGAATCGCCTTCTCTGCAGGTCAGCAGTTGTTCGTTCTGTTCTGTTCCCGTCAAGGCTCTTTTAAAGTCCTTAAATACTGCCTTCCGTGTTTTATCTGTGTGCAGAGCCTCTTGTTGGTTCTTCATCTACAGAGACAAGTTTTACAAGGGGGTCACGTGATGGCCTTTCTAGGGCAGATCTTCATTGACATTCACCCCCCATCACCACCACCATACGCAGCTTTGATTTTTCTCTTGCACTTTGATGAACACCCTCAGTGATATCTTTAACAACTTATTTCAGGAAGCTCTATGCAGAACTGTGCCAGGGAATCGTGGACATAGCCATATCCAGTGTCTTCCCACCCCCGGATACGGAGCAGGTGCCACAGCCGGTTGCGTTCATCAAGCTGTGACCCCGGAGCTACAGAGCCGCCTTGGGAAGTGTATGGCATCCGGAGGAGCGTGAGGTGACTGGACTGCTCCTTATCAAGGCATGCTGGGGACAGATGTGCAGGAAGAGTGTGTGATGAGAAGGCAGCTGTGGGAGAGCAGGGAGTGCTGCCTTCAGTGCTGTGGAGACCCAGGAAACTGAAGCAAGTCGCTGAGAGGCAGACCCGAACACTTCCGGAATCGGGGATTTGGTTGTGGTGTGATCTCATCCCTTGAGCAGTTTCTGGCCTTGAGTGGCATGGGGAGCAGAGCTCCCTCCTCCCCAGGATGCAGCCCAGAGACCTCTGAGTGGTGTTGTCTCAGCTGCTGCAGCGTTAGTGCCTTAGCTCTGGGTCCAGTGCAGCCTCACTGGACCCAGACTGGACCATAGAGCATTTTGGAGGTGGCCACATGTTCCCTGCACATCCCCTCTGTGACACTATGTCCCACTAAACCCTGGACAAGCATGCAGCACAGTCCATGCTGGGTATTGGCCTGTCATGAAGGTCATTCACCTTCCTGGTGGCCTCTAAGTGAGCACTTGCCAGGGGTCCTGTGGGCATCAAACCGTGTATTTTGCTCACTGCATGTTTTAGAAACAAAAGCACCAGGCCTAATGAATCTGCAAGCATCAAATAAGCATGAGAGAGAAAGAGAGAAAAAAGAAAACATGATATCTTACTTTACTTAACGGTGTGGGTGGGTGGGCGACTCTGAAATATCACGAGCCTCATTATCTTTGACTTAATCAGAATTCTGAATGCAGCTTTGCCATTTTCCTTCCCTTTCCCCACCTCTGAACCTTTGTAACAATCCTCTCTGGGAGTCAGGGAAGGTAGCACTCCATTCCTCCTCCTCCTCACCTCATAGCTCTCCCTACATCTGCCCTCCTCGGCTCCAAGGGCCGGGAGGGACAGGTTCCATTCCAGAAAGGGCCCTATTTGCTTATGCATGTAGGTAGCAGGAGAGATGCCCTCTGAATGAGGGTGTGTCCTGCCTGAGTGAGAAAGAAGTATTTTTGGAGCTTTGCACAGCTTCCTGTGTCAACAAAAGTGTTCGACATCTGGTTTCCATGTCAGGGGTCCATTCGCATTTCAGAGGCTTCTGGGGAGCCCACTCCGGAAGCAGTGGGAAGCTGTCATGTGTATTCAGTATTAGCTGAGTCAATAGGTTCTTCTGAAGAGGGTCCTGGAAACCAAGGTAGACACAGCGAATGCTGCCTTTCTGCCCAGAGCACAGTGTGGCTTTTTCTGGTGTATATATGTGCTTCTTCATGTGCATCTACTTGGTATGGTCTGCAGTCAAATGAGACTTTTACAGAAGAGCTAGAGAATGAGAGGTGGGAACTTACGTGAGGAAAGGAATGATGAGATTATTTATTACATGTGTCCGTGGGTAGCCGAATGCATTATACTGAAGTGAAGAAAATCTCAGCTCACAGGAACCCAGAATTAGGGGGTAAAGGTGCCATGGTTGCCTAGAATATGGGTAACAACGTTGGCTCCCAGAGCAAAGTACAACATTCGAGATGAAGTCAGTCCTTGAGGCCCAGCACAGCTGATGGGTCAGCGCTGAGGAACTTCTGAGAAAGCAGAGGGCTTAGACACATTTGGGAAGATGCACACTCACTGAGGACGTGGAGGGTGCTGGGTCCTTGGCTAGTCTAGGTGGGCCAGTAATGGAGAAAGCAAGGTGGTCGATGTATGCTCTTAGACCCAAGTCACGGAGCTCTTCAAAAGTGTGTGGCTGTTGAGGTGGAAGACTTGACAAAGCAGATGTCAGTGAGTCTTTATGAATCCTGACAGGTTCTGTAGTAAACCTGACCGAATCCATAACGTCTGTATAAGGGGAAATGGGAAGGGTTGGGTTCATTCCTCACACAGCTTCAGCTATTTTATGCATCTGCTTCCCACCAAGTAAGAAGCTTGGCTCTGAACCGTTTCATGTCGTTCCATGGTGTCGTTGGCGCAGATGGTCATGCCTGGCTCCCCAGCCAGTCTTCGTGGTTAGTCCGTGTAAGCGCTGCCCATCGCTGGGGGAGGGGGTTATTTATTTGGAGATATTGATTCCACTCCTGGGTCTGTCATTGACTGCACAATGTCACAGGAGCCAAATAACCTCTGTGCCTTAGCTTCTTATCTCATGGAGGAGATGTTCCCTGACCCAGGGACTACCTCAGGGGCTTTTGTGAGAATGAAAGAGCAGGAGGAAGACTCGAAGGCCTTTAGTCCCAAGGTTCTCAATGCTGACCACATGCTATAATTTCCCATGAAGTTAAAAAGAACTTGATGACCCTTCCCACCTACAGCCGATTGAATCAGAACCTCAGGTAACAATATGTCTTGAGGTGCCTTGAACCGTTACTTCGGGAAGCAGGACAAATACATCATTACCTTGGAAGGATCACTTTAAGGATTAAGACTCAAAAAAAAAAAAAAAAAAACCTCTTTGAAACAAGCAATTCTGTAAGAACAATCCGATATTGACATATATATTTGTGGTATAAGTATTGGCCAAGCAGTTTCTCAGTTTGCTTCTCATCCAAGCATCTGGAAAAATCAAACATGCTTTCATTTACATAAGCAGTTTATTAAGTCCTCGGTAGCAAATGTAAAGAGATAAGAATCTATAAATCTAATATATATCAGAGTTAATCATTAATTATGGGAGAAAAGCCCCTCCCCTCACACTTGACTTCAATGGCAATGATAAAGTCCATTTTGCCAAGAATATTTAAGTGCCTCTGTGTTGTGAGCTAGAGAAGAGCAGGAGCTGGCATGCACACTAGCTGATAGTGTGTTTCCATAGCTCTTTGGGATGACACGCGCATGCACGGGACATTGGGGAGCACTGGAAATGGGCTGTGAGCCACAGAACCAGCCAGTGTCAATGATGCTAGAAAGTGTTTTTATGAGCAGTTGTGGTTGTGTTCATGGGTATGGCAGAGAGGGGATCCATGAACAAAAATGACAAGGTGCCAAAGTAGGTTGCATGTGGCATGTGGGTACTGTCTTGAGGATTCGGGGGTTGATGTATGTGCCTCCAACCTTGGACACAGAACCTGCACCTAAGTGGAAATGGATTTCTGAAATAAGGCAACTATATGAATGTTTTAAATGCCTGGAGCATTAAAGTAAAGTAAAGATATTTCAAGTGTTTTTGTGTCATTTTACTGTGGATGTTGACTATCCTTGGCTATCACTAGTTATCTCAGTCTACGACACCACCCAGAGGAAGACAGGGATTTCCTGTAAACAGCAAGACAGCAAACATCCTGGCCTCTTGTGAGCCACCCAGGTCTCTGTTGCATATCCTTTGTTCTTTCCTCAGCTCTGAAAATGGTTGAACATAATTCTAAGATCACCTACCATACAGAGCCAAGCCAGATATGACCATCGTTCCCTAACTAAATGTTGTTTATTAGACAAAATAGACTTTAAAAGGTCATTACTAAGAAGAACATTTTATCATGGTGAAGGACCAGTTCCTCGGGAAGATACAATCATAAACATAAGCATTCAGCAAGAGAGGCCAAAGTCCTTGAAGCAAAACCCTGATGTGATTGAGTGGAGAAAGACAATTCAGCAGTAAGATTTGGGACCCTTCAACATTCCACTTTGAGTAGTGGATAGAACATCTCTAGAGAAGAGCATCAGGAAAACAACACTAAAGCTTAAGTAGAGCCAGCAGATATTTGCCATACATCTCATCCAGTTCTTCTAAAGTGCACTTGGGTCATTCTGTACTATAGATCATAGGCTAAGCTATCAAACAAGCCACAGTAGATGTAAGGGAATCAAAACACATATGTTCTGACCACAATGGAATAAACTTAGAGACCAATAACTACTTTGTTAATTGTCCAAGTAAGAATGCTTGCCTCACAAACCCTACAACCCGAGTTCGATCCCAGAAACCTACAAAAAGGCAGATGTGGTGGCTTGCATATGCAATTCTGGCGCTTCTGTGGTGAGATAACGGGCTCACGGGCCAGCTATTGCAGAGCGTAAAGACAAGAGAGACTGCCTCAGTCAGGGGGACGGTTAGACGCCACTCCTGAAAGTGACTCTGACTTCCACATGTTCATGGTGGCAAGTGTGAACCTCACACATACATTTGTTTCTGTCACAGATAAATGATACACATAAAAATTGTTTCACAAGTGTTTTAAAGGTAAACCAGATGTGGTTGTGTATGCCTGTAATCCCAGAGTTTTTGAGGCTGAAGCAGAGGATCACAAGTTGGAAGCCAACCTGAGCTACATATAGAGTCCTTGTGTCAGCCATGCCCACCTCAGAAAAACAAAAACAAAACAAAAAAACAGTGCACGAAAGGTTCTAGACAGAACAATTAGCCAAAAGAAAAAAAGGACATCCAAACTGGAAAGAAGTGTAAGTATGTTTCTTTGCAGATGATAAGACTGTATATAGAGAAAACCTTTAACAAGATTCCTAGGTACAATATCAACATATAAAACTCAATTGCATTTCTAAACACTACAAATGAACAATTTGAAAATGAGATCAGAAAGCAATTCTCTTTTATCAACACAAAAAACAATGGTTTAGGAATTAACACAGTTCTTTTTTGTTGTTTTGAGACAGGGTCTCTCTATTATGTAGCCTTAGCTGTCTAAGAACTCTCTATATAGACCAGGCTGGCCTAGAACTCACAGAGATCCACCTGCCTCTGCCTTCCAGTGCTGAGATTAAAGGTGTGTGCTACCACACCTGGCACACAGATTCATTTGTACAAAACATTTTTTTCTTTTCTTTCTTTCTTACTTTTTTCCTTTCTTTAAAAAAAAAAAAAAACAGGGTCTTTCTGTATGGTATTGGATGTTTCAGAACTCGATATGTAGATCAGGCTGGCCTGGAACTCAGAGATCCGCCTGCTTCTGCCTCTTGAGTGCTGGGATTAAAGGCATGGGCCACTATGCCCAGTTACACACATATTTTTAAAAGAAAATACACAACCCATAAAAGGGGAAACATATTTTCAAATCACAAGCCCAAGAACGACTAGCATATTACAACTCAATGTAGGAAGACAAGTGATTTTAAAATGAGCAATGTATTTAAGCAGACATTTTTTCCAGAGAAAATAATCCCATCAACCCATAAACACATGAAATGATATTTGACACTATTATCCTCTAGGGAAATGCTAATCAAAACCCACAAATAGATGCTATTGTACAAGTGATAAGATTGCTATAATCAGAGATATTATCAGTAAAGATGTTGCTGGGGGAGTGTTAAATTGTACAGCTCACTTGAATAGTTTCACAGAACTTCACAAAGTTAAATATAGAGTAAATATATGATACAGAAATTCTGTTCTGAGCTCCAATGCTTCAGAGAATTGAAAACATGCACATACAAAAACTGATACTCATAGCAACATTATTCCTAAAAGCCAAACAGTGGAAACAACACAAATGCCATCTGACACCACCCAACCACCTTCCACCTCTTACCCTAGGATTTCTATCTAGAAAGCAGTTTGGAGTAGCTTCTTTTCTGTTGGCGTAGGGTGTTAGTTAGCATAGCCTGATTTCTGTTGACCATCCCAGTGATGAACTTCACTCATTAGGAGTTGAGTAGAGAAGGGCTGGGTGTGGTGGCACATGTCTTTAATCCCAGCACTCTGGCAGAGGCAGGTGGTTCTGTGTGCTAGGCTAGCCTGACCTACAAATTGAGTTTCAGGTCAACCAGGACTACATACAGCAGTGGTTCTCAACCTTCCTAATGCTTCAACCCTTTAATACCGTTCCTCATGTTATGTTTACCCCCAACTACAAAATTATTTTTGTTTCTACTTCATAACTGTAATTTTGCTACTGTTGTGAATTGTAATGTAAATAGTTTTTGGAGATAAAGTTTTGTCAAGGAGTTGTGACCCACAGGTTGAGAACTTCTGTCATGGAGACCCTGTCTCAAAAAAAAAAACAATAAATAAATAAATAAATGGAGAGAGAGAGAGAGAGAGAGAGAGAGAGAGAGAGAGAGAGAGAGGGGAAGGAAGGAAGGAAGGAAGGAAGGAAGGAAGGAAGGAAGGAAGGAAGGAAGGAAGGAAGGAAGGAAGGAAGGAAGAATTGGATAGAGAGGACAGAGGTTGGTGCCCAACATCTTGGTTGAAGCCAAGACTCCAGAATCTCTTAGGGTCAGCATCAGGATGTACTTGGAAAGCTGCCCAAAGGAACAGGAGAGAATCTTTGAAGATAGTTCTATTAGGTCCTAATTGACTGATTGAGCGAATAAGGGCCACAGAGGTCACACACTAAAGTGGAGTGGGTTTTATTTAGAGCGGTTTGGTGGGTTTATTTAGAGGATACAGCTGAGAGAAGAGGCGGATCCGCCTGCGTGTAGTTTAACCGGCCTAATCACACCACGGTTTTGGTTCCCAGTCGACCCTGCAAAATGGAAGGACCAGGGTAGGGCGGGCAGAACAAGAGGAACTACATTTCCCAGCAGGCCGTGGGGGTCTGGGACTCCGGCCATTCCTGCCGGCCCGAGTGGAGTCACAACTCTGGTCTCCGGTCCCGGGGTGGCAGAAGCATGGATGTCGACGGCCGGTGGCGGAGCCTGCCTAGCGGGCCAAGCCTAAAGCATTTGACCGACCCTTCGTACGCGATTCCCCCGGAGCAGCAAAAGGCGGCGTTGCAGGACCTAACGCGGGCGCACGTGGACTCCTTCAACTACGCGGTGCTGGAGGGGCTGAGCCACGCGGTGCAGGTGAGCTGCGCGCCCTCGGCTCCTGAGCCGCCCGAGTCGGGGCCCGAGGGTCCCAGAGGTTGGAGGAGGTGGCCCGGAGGCCGCAGTATGGCCTTAAGTAGTGACACTCACTCGCCGTTCACTGCTTTGGTAGTTCAGAATGAAAAACGCTTCGTTGCGACTTGTAGCCGAGTAGTGTAGGAAAAGATGTATTTGTGATTTCTGGCTTTATATGTGAGTACGAACCCTGGTTTTGTGCGGTCCGTTTCAGGGTACTGTGAGATGAGAGAGAGGAAGTGATCTATTTGGGATTGTGTTTTCTCCCCATTCACAGCGCTCACCTTTTGCCACCTGGACTTTTACGTTCTAAAACTACCTCAGAAGGTTCCAAGCTGAGTCAGACAGACTGCAGTAAGGTCATCCTTCAGTTTCCTTCTCTTAAAGTTTTCTTTTGGGGGAGGGGGGCGGTTCAAGGCAAGAGTTTCTCTGTGTAGTCCTGGCTTTCCTGGAACTCACTCTGTAGACGAGGCTGGCCTCGAACTCACTGATCCTCTGCCTCTGAAGTGCTGGGATTAAAGGCGTGCGCCACCACCGCCGGGCTTCCTTCCCTTAGGGTTTTAAAGAGAAAGTTTGGCTACTGTTCTGAGTTAGGCATGTTGAGGAAGATAAAAAGTACTGGGGATCAATCTGACAAGGGTAGCAAAGTTCAGGTAAGGACGATGGAGGGAAGTCTCTTTTTCTTAGCAGCCTTAGTCTTTCCTGGCACTAGGCTTTGAGAGTAAGAACATGCCGGTTCCCCTGCTGTATCTCAGGTTTGAGTGCTCCTCAGGGTTGTTGGTTGTGTAGAGGAAGCAGACACCAGCAGGCAGTCAATGCCAACACTCTTGAGAACTGCCCTAAAATGTAGAGTTTACTGAGTCAGGAGCAGGAGGGAAGTACGACTCATCCAAGTGTTTAGAAAGCTCAGCATTAGATAAAGTCAAGGGAAGAGGATGGATCGTTCCCTCCAGAGGGAGGTTAGGTACAGGGAGAGCCATGTACGCAGTAGACACTACCCTGAGGTTTTGCTGCTGAGCAATCGTGTTAGAGATAGGGATGGAGATGCATTGGAGAGCTTTGACTGCCAGACTGATACTCAAAAATATGGGAGCCATTTAGAACTCTTTAAATTGCCAGACTTCCACCTGAGGGAATAAAATGTGCAAAGCTGGACATGAGGAATGGCACCGAGAGCAGCAGTTCTCTTTGTATAACTGTGCAGAGAAGGTAGATTGGCTCAGCCTTTTCCCTGTCTGTAGAGCCTGCTGCACAATCAAAAACACAGGACATCATCACAAAGGCCCTTAACGAGTGCATTATGGTTAACGAGTTGGTGAAGTCACCAACCAGTTAGTTGTAGCTTTAGTTGTCCTTTTAGATGCATTGCCTTGGCATGATAGACGCCAGTGAGTGTAGAACTGTGATTTCAAAGAGTCTTAGTCTTTGAAAAGTGCCTTGAACAGCGCAAGTGGTTTAGCAGCATGAATTGCCTTTCAGGCCATACCACCCTTTGAATTTGCTTTCAAAGATGAGCGCATCTCTCTTACTATTGTGGATGCTGTCATCAGTCCGCCATCGGTGCCCAAAGGGACCATCTGCAAAGAGCTCAGCGTTTATCCAGCCGAGTGCCGGGGCCGGAGGAGCACCTACCGCGGGAAGCTGACGGTGAGCATTGGGGGCACGAAGTGGCTGTCCCTGCACAATTCTGAGACTCTGCTTTCTTAGTGTTGCCACTTAAGGAATTGTGTCTTCTGAATCTAAAACGTGAAATCAATTCACTGTGGCCTTCTTCCTTCTTTTAAAATACTCATCTCTGGGGCTGGAGAGATGGCTCCGGTTGAAAGCACTGACTGTTCTTCTAGGGGACCAGGATTTGGTTCCCAGCACCATATGGTGGCTCACAGCTGCCAGCCATTCCAGTTCCAGCCGATCTAATGCCCTCTTCTGGCCTCCACTGGCACTAGACACATCTCTGGTACACAGACATCCGTGCAGGCAGAACATCCATACACATAAAATAAAAATAAATACACCTAATTTTTTTTTTTTTTAAATATTCACTTGTTCTTGCAGGTCCAGATAGTTTATTTTTCATCTGTTTTCGTATAGGCTGACATCAGCTGGGCAGTGAATGGAGTCCCCAAAGGGATCATTAAACAGTTTCTCGGCTATGTTCCCATCATGGTAAAGTCTAAGCTTTGCAACTTGTGCAACCTTCCTCCTCAAGCCCTCATTAAGCACCATGAGGAGGCAGAGGTGAGTGCAGGGGTCCAGGCCGTGGGGAAATAGGAAGCTCGCCAATGGAAGTCAGCTTTCCTGACTTCTGATTTCTAGATCTGTTGTTGTCTGGAGCGTTGATACTGGGTCTGAGTACTGTGCGTGACTCTTCCGTCTATTGAGACAGTGTGGAGAGCAGCCAGACATTAAAAATGTTATTGTTTCGGGCAGTGTACTAGGTTTTTTCCCTTTCCTTCCCCCCTCCTCTTCCTGCTTCTCTTTCCTCCTACTTCCTCTTCCTTAACATGGAACCTGGGGGCTGTGCTCGTATGAAATGTTAAGTATGCCACCAGGCTACACTCCCAACCCAAATTTTCTTCTCTTTTATTACCTTCCTTCCTTTCTTTTTGGGGGGTGGAGTGTGTCTTGCTATGTAGCCTTGGCTGGCCTGTAACTCACTGTGTACATCAATCAGGCTGGCCTTCAACTCAGAGAGATCCGTCTTAATCTGCCTTCCCCCCCCCACCCCCCCCACACACAGAGTGCTGGGATTAAAGGTGTGTACCACCAAGCCTGGCTGTTTCTTTATTGTGTGGGGGTGAAGGGGGGTGAGGGGGCGCTTTAGTAACATGGCCCATGTGTAGAGGTCAAAGGGTCAGCGGACAGATATGAGGAGTTGGTGCTCTCCTTCCATCCTTTGCCCGCTGGGCCATCTTTCTGGTCCTAGTTTTCTTAATTATACATGTTCAGAGGCATACTCACAAAAGTATTGTAGGATCTGCCTGTTTTACTGATGTAAAATCCCCTGGGGTTATTGAATGACCCATGTCCCTTTTCCTTTGGTTTTTTCAGCGGTGTGAGGCGGCTCTGGGCTACTGAGCTGGAATGGGGTTGTGTAGCTTCGGCCTGCTTTTAGGGGAGACTGTTAGGCCTTGGTGTCAGGTCAGGATGTGACATTCAGTTGTTCATTTATCAGTTGTGGGGTCTTTGGAGGATTTAAGCTGCCCCAAGCCTCAGTTTCTTCTGGTATAAAAAGGCAGGCCCATGCTCGGGAGGATTAAGTGCCTCGTTAGCAGAGCATCAGCAGGATGTGCCTGTTTGACATCAGGCAGTTAGCAAATACTCTTCATTATTAAACAGATTTTCCTGTATTTATCTAGTCCAGATTTCTAGTTAGCAAAGCTTTCATGCAGACACACACACACACACACACACACACACACACACACACACAGACTTTATTTTAACTTAGCATTTTTATCTGTAGATTTTGGAATAAGTTTTGTTGAAATGGTGCTTGGGAATTGAAATACTTTGGGACAGAAAGACAAGTTTGACTGAGTCTGCCTAGTTGGAAGGGATGGCGCTCTTCCTCACCATCCATTCTCCTGTGTGGGATCCGGTTGTGTATCTGACAAGTCTTTCCAAAGCCTATACTGTTTTCAGAGACCAGGTGTCCGTTTAAACCAGTGTGTACCTCTCTGGGGTTGGCAATTCACGTGGCTAGAAATAGCTTTGTGTTTACTTAGCCATATACTTTTGTTTAACAGATGATAACCCCTGTTCTTTGGCAGGAAATGGGAGGTTATTTTATAATCAATGGCATTGAAAAAGTCATCCGAATGTTGATTATGCCTCGGAGAAATTTCCCCATTGCAATGATAAGACCAAAGTGGAAAAGCAGAGGGCTTGGCTATACTCATTTCGGTAAGTTTTGGTGAACATTGGAATGTTGTTTTAGACAACTTGAAACAATTTTTTTAAAGTAGATACAATTATACATTTTTTTTTTTGTGGGGTGCAGGGGGGTGTCGAGACAGGGTTTCTTTGTGTAGCCCTTGCTGTCTTGGAACTCACTCTAGACCAGACTGCCTCGAACTCACAGAGATCCACCTGCCTCTGCCTCCAGAGTGCTGGGATTAAAGGCGTGCTCCTCCACTGCCCGGTTAACTCTACACAATCTTTAATGAGTTTCTCTTATATGATTTGGTTTGTTTTACTGTTAAGCATTTCCGTGAGATTCAGGGTGGCGTTGCTGGGGGAAGTGTTGATCAAAGCATGAACTTACAGGCCAAGTAAGTACAGGGCTGGGAGGTGGTTCAGTGGGAAAGTGCTCTCTACAGGAAGTGAGGAATTGAGTTCCCATCACCTCCATTTAAAAACAGTAACGGAAGGGTATGGCCGTGCACATCTACTCCTAGGGCTGGAGTGGAGGGGACAGGTGGACAGGGCTTCCGCTTTTTAGTCAAGAAGGAAGTTCCAGGTTCAGTGAGAGACCCTGTCTCAAAAGAAGCAAAGTGGAGAAGCAATTGAGGAAGACATCTGCATGACAGTCTCTGGCCTCTCCCTATGCTTGCATTGGAGAGTAACACACACACACACACATACATACACACTACCTGTGCCTGCAAGGGAGAGAGTACTCCCACCACACATGTGTGAATACACATACATGTATACAATCTAATGCTAGTGTACAGCACTGTAATATCAATAATACTGTATTGCTTTTTTGAAATTTGAGAATGGAGTACTATTTTAAGTGTCTTGATCCCACATGCACATATACACACAGTTGGTAACTATATGTGGTAATTGATTTTTTTTATGAGATTTATTCATTTATTATGTATACAGTGTTCTATCTGCATGTACCCCTGCAGGCCAGAAGAGGGCACCAGATCTCATTACAGATGGTTGTGAGCCACCATGTGGTTGTTGGGAATTGAACTCAGGACCTCTGGAAGAGCAGGGGTGCTCTTAACCCCTGAGCTATCTCGCCAGCCCTGGTAATTGATATTTTAATCAATTTGATTATGGTAATTGTTGTGCATACATGGATGTTTCCTAATAAACTTGTAGTAAATTGAAAGTACTGTACATTAAAAATGCACTTAGAGGGGCTGAAGATATGGCTCAGCAGTTTAAGAGCATCTATTTTTCTTCCAGAGAACCTGAGTTCAATCCCCAGCCTCCATGTTAGGCAACTCACAACTGCCTGTAGCTCCAGCTCCTAAGGACCTGACACCTCTGGCCTCTGTGGTCATCTGCACACATGGGAACACATACTCACACACAATTTAAAATAAATAAATATATTTGTTTTAATTTTTAAAAAATGCATTTAGAGCCAGGCATGGTATGTTGCATCTTTAATCCCAGTACTCAGGAGGCAGAGGCAGGTGGATCTCTGAGTTTGAGACCAGCCTGGTCTACACTGTGAATTCCAAGACAGGACAGTCAGTGCTACATAATAGAACCTATCTCAAAAAAAAAAAAAAAAAAATGTACTTAGAGGCAGGGACAGGTTTGGTGGTAGAGTGCTTTGTAGGCGGAGTTTTCCTGCCCCACAGATGCTCCCAAATAAACACACCAAGGCTTATATTAATTACAAATGCTCGGCTGATAGCTCAGGCTTATTACTAAATAGTTCTAACAACTTAAATTAACCCATTTCTGTTAATCTACATTCTGCCACGTGGCTTTTACCTCTACCCCATTTTGTGTGTCCGACTCCTTCTGCATCTGGCTGATGACTCCTCTCACTCCGCCCTTCTTCCTCCCTGCATTCTCTCTGTCTCAGGCTGTCTCACCCAGTCTCTTCCTGCCCAGCTATCCACCGATCAGCTTTTTATTAACAATGAGAGCAATAGCCGGGCGGTGGTGGCGCACGCCTTTAATCCCAGCACTCGGGAGGCAGAGCCAGGCGGATCTCTGTGAGTTCGAGGCCAGCCTGGGCTACCAAGTGAGTTCCAGGAGAGGCGCAAAGCTACACAGAGAAACCCTGTCTCGAAAAAACCAAAAAAAAAAAAAAAAAAAAAAAAAAAAACAATGAGAGCAATACATATTTACAGTATACAAAGACTGTTCCATAGCAGCGCTTGTCTAACCTGCAGAGGTTTCTGGGCTCATTGCTTGACACTCAGTGCACTAACCTGCAAACATTGTAGCTTAGCTTGGCAAGCCGAAATGTGCTCAGAGCACACTTTAGAAAAATCGCCTAAAACAAAGCCTGTTTTATGAGCAAATGTTGATCATCTTATGTTCATACACAGATTGGCTTTTTGTATATATCATGAGCTATGAAAACACTGTATTCAAAAACATTGGTACCCTAGGACATTGAAGATTATCATTTGTTTTCCTTTTTGATCTCCTGGCTGGTTGGGAGCTGTGGCTCACTGCTACTATCCAACATCATGAGAAAATACACAGCATTGTTAGCCTAGGGAAAGGTCTCAATTCAAAAAGTGAAATGCAACTTCTACTGAATGGACATGGCTTGTGCACCATGGTGAAGCTGAAAAATTGCAAGTGGTTAATATGTATAATGTTTATTAACTAAGGAAACGAAATATACCCAGAAAGTGATTTCACAGTGAGGACATGCGTCTCTTTACTCTAGAAGACTTCATGTACTTATGGTATTGCATTTGAGGATGAAGGCTGACCTGACTTAACACCTGTGTCCAAAGGCACGAGAGGTCCCCTTGTTTAGACTGCCTTGGCACATGCTCAGGGACTGGCCTGTGTCCGCTGCCTGTGACAGTGTTTGGCAGCATAAGATAGCATATGGCATTTTCTGTTAACTTCTGCAGGATTATATAGTGTAGCATTTATAGTTGAGATAAAAAATCAGACTTTAATAGTTGCCATAGATACAACACCCAGGAGAACAGTATCTCAGCATGTGAAAATGTAGTCATTGATTCTGTTGATATAGTGTCCATAATAAACCTGAAGGCTGACCTCTGCTGTTGTCCGTCAGGATGTTAGATAAATGACCGTCTCTTGACTAGTCCCATAGAGCAGTGTGAATAGGAAGTGTGCTCTGCAGGGTGATCCAAGTATAAGGTGCTATAAGACATGGGTCCCAGCTGACGGAAAACTTGGAAGTTTAGTCATAATTCATAGCTGTACCTATTTCACAGCGTACCCCAGAAAACATTTGGTAAGGTCTGTACACATTTTTGATTGCCAGCCTTGGTTAATCTTTTTTTGTTTGTTTGTTTGGTGGTTTGGTTTGGTTTTTGTTATTTTGTTTTGTTTTGTTTGAGACAGGGTTTCTCTGTGTAGCCTTGGCTGTCCTGGAACTCACTATGTAGACCAGGCTGGCCTTGAACTCACAGAGATCTGCCTGTCTCTGTGCTGGGATTAAAGGCGTGCGCCACCATGCTGGGCCTTGGCTAACATTTTAACAAGTGATTTGGCTTTGATTATGGCGGTAAAATGGTCAGATGGAAAATGAAACAGGCCATGATTCCTTGCCATTCCTTTGAATAGGGATTTCAATGCACTGTGTGAGAGAAGAGCATTCTGCTGTCAATATGAACCTTCACTATGTGGAGAATGGCACGGTTATGTTGAACTTTATTTACCGGAAAGAGCTGTTTTTCCTTCCTTTGGGATTTGCGCTTAAGGTGAGATGGGGTGAATATCTATCTGTCTTTGATATGAGTAGGCTCCTTGGAAGCTGTGTCCTGTAGATGTGTGGGTGATTTCTTTTTGTTCAAGTACATGTGCATGTATGTTACCCAAGCTTTTGGGAAGTCCATGAGACTGGAGGTTGCAAGTTCGAGGCCAGCTAGAGTAACATACCAAGACCCTGTCTCCCTCCACCCCCACCATAAACAAAACCAAACCATACATGCTACACTAATTAGTCCCTGCTCCATTCTTAAAATCAGTTGCTTGAAATATCAATGAACATTTTCTCAGAGTCTCTGGAGATGTAGAATTTGAGAGTAGCTTGACTGCATAGGTCATAGGTCACAGTGAAGTATTTGGAGGTCCTGCTGGGCTGGTGAGATGGTTCCACCTGCCATGCAAGACTGACAGCCTGAATTAGCCCCCAGAACCCCCAGTAGAAGGGAAACCTGGCTCCCAAAACGTGTCCTCTTACCTTCTTATGTGTGCCGTGGCCTGTATACACCTACATGCACACACACACACACACACACACACACACACACACACACACACACACACACATGCACTCCCACTCTCACGTAAAGAATTACAATTTTTAAAATAAATGAAGTGCTATAGCCACTTGGATTAACCAGGACCCGGTGCCGAGTTGCTGGCTCCCTTGGTGGCCCTTGGTCTCAGTTCCTCTTCCTCCTGGAAGTCAACCCAGAGAATGAGGTAGAGGGCAGTCTGTTTATGACCCAGCCTTGGGAATCTGGCATCTCCTTTTTGCCATATTTTGGTCATGTGGGATAGCCCTAATTCAGATCAAGAGGAGACAATTCCATTTTTAAATACCCAGAAATAGAATCATTGGGACTTTGATGTTTGGCTGGTGTAAAAGGAATGTTTTGTTTTGGAGGGCTAGTTTTGCTTGGTCATTAGAAATTATTAGAGGGGAGGATTGTGTCTAAGTGAATTAAACCTTTGGTAGTTGTTTAAAATAAAACTTAAAAAAAAATTTTTTTTTCTTTTTCAGGCTCTTGTGAGCTTTTCCGATTATCAGATTTTCCAGGAGCTCATCAAAGGCAAAGAGGAAGACTCCTTCTTTAAGAATTCTGTTTCTCAGATGTTGAGGATTGTCATGGAAGAGGGTTGCTCCACTCAGAAGCAGGTCCTTAACTATCTGGGTGAACGCTTCAGAGTGAAGCTCAATCTTCCTGACTGGTACCCGAATGAGGAGGCGGCCAAGTTCCTGTTCAAGTATGTGTGCCTTGGGTGGGGGAGGGGAAAGGATGGCTTCGTGCCTAGGAAGTGAGCCTGGGTAGGATGCTGGTCCTAGCCAGGAGGGCAGCTTTGCTTCTTTTATTCTACATTAATTTCAGATTTGCTACAGTGTCCAAGGAAGACAGTGGACACCGGAGGTCTCTAATGTTGACATTTTGTTAGTTACGGTGATCACTTTGTCTCTACATAGATACACATTTCCTCTCTGTATCTTTGACAGTGGCAGGCAACGTGCTACTGAATTTCCCTATATTAAAGAGCTGTGGTTCCAGACCACCCTAGCATTAGGAGCCGAGCACTTGAGATGTGGCCAGTGCAGCTGAGAAAATGAAGTCTTATTTAACTGAACTGGAGTAGCTACAGGTGGTTACTAATTACTGCCATCTTGCTGAACACAGCTCCAGACTTGGTGGCGGTATTCTGTTAACGTTGCCAGTGAAGGTGGGAAGCAATTTTGGAAGTAAGGGACGTTCAGTCAACGTGAAACCGGCACCTTGGTCAGTAGGGAACTAGACAGGAGAGCAGAACTGCTTTCAAGTTACTTCTTTTTCAGTGAGTGCATCTGTATCCACTTGAAATCCGATACTGAGAAGTTTTATCTGCTTTGTCTCATGACCCGGAAGCTCTTTGCTTTAGCCAGAGGAGAGTGCATGGAGGACAACCCTGATAGTTTAGTGAATCAAGAAGTCCTTACGCCTGGTCAGCTCTTCCTGATGTTTCTGAAGGTGAGTGCGTTCTGCAGGCGTGGGGCCACTTGTGCAGGGTGGGTGGACACAAGTATGCTCTGCATGTTGTTAATTCCTAGTTTGGGCATTTTGCATCATCTCCCTTTTGTTTAGCAGTGAGGAACTGAATCAAAACTCTACTTATACCAGGTCCATATTTCTGTGCGTCACCTGTATGTGATTTTATGTTTCCATGTAAAACCCAAGGTTCTCAAATAAGAGATAGTGTTTTTTTTTTCTGCGACTCAGTTTTCTTTCTTTTGATTATTTATTTATTTTTGAGACAGGGTTTCTGTGTGTAGCCCTAGCTGTCCTGAACTCGCTCAGTAGACCAGGCTGGCCTCAAACTCACAGAGATCCGCCTGCCTCTTCTTCCTGAGTGCTGGGATTAAAGATGCATGCCACCACTGCCCAGCTGACTTAGTGTTCTTAATATGATTTCAGTTAATGGACTTCTTCAGTTGAATCTGTTTTCCTCCAAATGATAAAACTTCATTCCTTATAGCTAAAAATAAAACAAAACAAAACAAAAACCTCCTTCTGTTATAAACACATACACCGTATTTTCCTCTCCTCTGTTCTTGGACTCCTGGGCTGGTTCATAGCTTAGCTGCTGTAAGCAGTGCTGCATTGGTGTGTAAACATTAGTGTGCAAGAATCTTTGTGATATGTTGACTTAATTCTTCGGGGCCACACAGGAGTGATGGGTCCATTTTGAACATTTTGAGGAACCGTCATACTGACTTCCATAATGGCAGAGCTAGTTCACGTTCTGTGTGTGTGACACCCAGCGTGTGTCCGGGTTCCCTCTGTCTGCATCCTCTCCATCTCGTTTTTATGTTCTTGATGACCGCCATCCTGACAGGTTGGATAGGATCTCACCGTTGTTTGCATTTGCATTTCCCCGATGACTGGTGATGCTGACCAGTCTTAATATGTTTGTTACGCATTTGTACTTCATTTTCTGAAAACCATCTCCTCATTTAGCTCATTTATTGATTGGATTGTTGGACTTTTAAAAGAAAATTGTGTGTGCGTTATGTGTGTGTACCTGTTCTTGTGTGTGTGTGTGTGTGTGTGTGTGTGTGTGTGTGTGTGTGTATTTGGACATTTTTTAAATTTATTATTTTATTTGCATTGGTGTTTAGCTTTTTATTAAAGCAATCACAACGACATATCTTTACACAGTGTAATCAAATACCTCGCAACAAGCCGCTGATCTATACCTCCTGTCTCTGTCTTTAGGAATGCTTTACTCTCAGTTGTACATTGAAGGGCTATCTTTTACAACTCTGGATGTGCTGAAGATACATCCTTTGTCACATGTATAGACAGTGGGCCTTTATTCTGGATTGTGTAGATTGTGTGGGGTAGATGCAGCATTTGAGATAATTAAAGCATGCACTACTTAAAATTGAACATTTTCTTCTTTTAGGAAAAAATGGAAAATTGGCTAGTGTCTATTAAAATAGCTTTAGATAAGAGGGCTCAGAAGACCAACGTATCCATAAACAATGAAAATTTGTTGAAGATATTTAGTATGGGATCAGAACTAACAAAACCATTTGAATATCTTCTTGCTACTGGGAATCTGCGTTCAAAAACAGGTAAGACGAAACAGATAGGCCATGTTTATATTTTTCAAATTATATGCATAATATAATAAAAGTATGTTGCTGCAGAATTCCAGAGTAAGCTCACCCTCACTGAAGTCAGATTGTATGTTATAGTAAATTTTGACAAATGTCTGCCAACCCGAAGGGTTCAGCAAGGTGTCTTGTTTCTGTAAATCCAGTGCTAGTGAAAATACATTCTGTGACTCCTAGAAAGCGGATGACCACATATATCTGGGGCGGGCTGACCAGCTGCAGTCTGGAAGGTTTGGGTTTGTGCCCCTCCCTAAACCACTTGTATTGGAATGAACAATTGGAATGAAAATAAAAAAGACTGCGATCCAGAAATCTGCTTTCATTTTTCAGACAGATGCCACTGATTTCTCTTGTTAGTATGCCAACAAATGCTTATGTAACTTCAGAGCTCTCAGACCAGTCTCATTCAGTTTTTCCCATTTATCAGAACTAGTACTAGTGTTGTAAACCTGTGCACCTGCATGCGTGTGTGTTGGTACTGGGGAATTGCACCCAGGGCCCATTAATATATTAAGCAAATGCTCTTACCACTGAGCTATATCCCCAGCCCTGACGTTTTTTTCGTTTTATCAAAACATCAGAAACAGTTAGTTTTGGGTTTTTAAAAAAGACTTTTGCTTGTTTTGAGTGACTCTTTTTTAATTAAGGTCTCGGCTTCCTGCAAGATTCTGGCCTGTGTGTTGTGGCTGACAAGCTGAACTTCATTCGCTATCTCTCCCACTTCCGCTGTGTGCACAGAGGGGCTGACTTTGCCAAGATGAGGACCACCACAGTGCGCAGGCTGCTTCCAGAGTCCTGGGGCTTCCTCTGCCCTGTGCATACCCCAGACGGGGCACCGTGTGGGCTGCTGAACCACCTGACTGCCATATGTGAGGTCGTCACAAAGTTTGTGTACACAGCGTCTATTCCAGCCTTGCTCTGTGGCTTAGGTATGAACACTCAACAGTGCAGCTGGGTTTCATGGCTTTGAACAGCATCAGGCAATGACGTCACCCTTTGGGATTCTGCAGATAATTCTTTTTCAGTCCTCCATGCATGAGTGGGGCTGCTTTCTTGGCTTCTCTCTCATGCATTCTTTGGAGCTAAAGCAAGTTAAATGCCATTGGTGTTGTCCTTTTTTGTAAAAGGAAAAGATAGAAAGAAGTGAAATAGAACCGCCATTAGTGTTCAGAGTTTAGGTGCTCTTGTGTAGATTTCTGGGCCACTCTCCTGTGCCCTGGTAGATCTTTGCATTTCTAAGTAGAAAACTGTTGGTTTGGGGGAGTTCAGTTAAAGAGTAGCTTATGCAATAAAGCTGATGTCATAGATCGGTGACATTTATTCCTGGTAGCTTGCAGCCACTGTCTCCACTTTGGGGGAAAACTCAGTCGTATTGTTCGTCTAGGCTTGGGAGTTGGTTTGAGTTTACTTTCACAGTTAAAGGTGTCATCCTTTTGTTTGAGTATTTTGTAACAGTTTAGTCCTGGGATTTTCCAGTTGTGGTTTTAAAACCATAGTATTGTATCTTTATTGGTGAGTGGGTGAGGTCACCAGTGGATTGATGTTTTTGAAATGCAACATAGGACTCCTATGTTGGGTTTCCTATCATAGGGTCAGGTGATAGCTAGGTGCTTCAAGTAACCAGAAGGACATTGAGTCAAGAGTCAAGAACTTAGTATGTAAAATGTTTCACCCAACGGGAAAGTAACCATTAAGGAGGGAACATTAGAGAAAGCAATAAGAAATAGTCAAGATTCAGAGGTATAAGCAATCTGTCCATTTGCTGACTGCAAGGCAGAGAATACTTTGTTCTGTCGTTAATTAAAATCAGACCAAGCATAGTGGCACACACCCGTAACCCTAGCACTTGGGAGGTAGAGGAAGTTTGAGGTCAGCCTGGGTTACAGGAGACCCTGTCTCAAAGTCCAGAAGGAAACAGAAGAGGTTAGAGAGGTGGACAGTGTATCCCATTGTGGAGGAAGAGATGGCTCTGAGGAAGAGGGCTGAATAAAAGACACAAGCCCTGGAGAGCTGGTGTGGGGGACAGATGAGGCAGTGAGTGGTGACCTTTGACACTTGGGGAAATACTGGCTCTTTTTATGTGGCAGTTATGATGTGTGCAGATGTCGTTTTCACTGAATGACTTGGTTCTCATTATTTGCAGCCCTGTATTACATTAACTGGGCAGTGCTGTTAGCCTGTACCGAGCCATTGCTTGGGGGGAGTTGGGGGTTAGGGCTCAGTTCTCAAGTCTAAGCCAGCAGCCTCAGCTTCTCTAACTTTCTCTGAGGCCTGTGACAGCCACTTTGCACTTAGGGACAGCACTCAGCACTAAGTGTTTGCATGGCCTTGAACAGACGTTGAAAGATTGGCTTGCAGTTGGAGCATGGGGACAAGATGTCAGGGTGTGTGCACCAAGAAACATTCCTGCTGTGTGACTTTGCAGGTGCCCGTAGTATAATTTTGTGGTTACAAATAAAATGTTCAAGCAAGCAGATGTCAAAATAGCAAAAGTCTGCAGACAAGGAGGGTTGACAATAATTAGATTTTTCTTGGGAAAGTGTATTCAGGGTACAGGAGTCAGGAATCGACGTTCTGTGCAAAGCCTCCCTTGTGCCTAGCCATCCTCTCCCAGGATGTGTGTCCTTGATGAAGCAGTTTACATGTTTACAAGCAATATGAAAGCATTGTGTTGTAGGATAGAGCAGCTGGGTCGCTGGACTGGGTCTCCAGGCGCTGGAGATGCTGGGTGAAACCTTCTGATGATGTTATCCTGCTGTCCCCTCCCCAGGAGTCACTCCTGTCGATGCGGCACCTTGTCGGCCCTACAGTGACTGCTACCCTGTCCTGCTGGATGGCGTCATGGTGGGCTGGGTGGACAAGGAGCTTGCTCCTGACGTTGCGGACGCTCTCCGTCGCTTTAAGGTGATCTCCGGTCTCTGTGGATGGTCTCACTTCTCTCCTCACCTTTAGTTTAGTTTGCAGTCCTTCCCTAGTTGGTGAGGTGTCCTGGGGATGGTCTGGAGTGGTCAAGAAATCGGGATGGAAGCTAATTCCAGGGGTCAGTGACAGACACGTGACCTATAAGCATTTCCTGGTCGTGTCATTGAGGTCCCTGTCTGCTTATCTATCCAGTTGGACCTCAGAGGAGTGCCACCAGCTGGTTACTCCCTGCTTCCCAGCTGAGCGAGCATCTATAACCTGAACCTCCTAGGTTCGTCACTGTATAGTTAAAAATTTTCAGGGGAAATTTGTGGAGAGAGTTAAGCTGTGTGACAGCTCCTTCCTTTCCTCGTCTAACTTCACTTCATCCACTGGTTGATGATTTCTCTGCTGAGTTATTACTGCTCCCTTGGCTATTCTTCACTAAGTTGATTGTGACTGTGGTAGTTGTCCTGCCGCGCTCTGTAGTGCACACAGGCCTCAGCCATCCTCCTGCATCAGTTCCCCAGGCAGCTAGGATTACAGCCTATACTCCTAGCCCAGTCAGAATTCTCTTTTTTTTTTTTTTTAATTTATTTATTATATACACTGTTCTGCCAGCATGTATGCCTGCCTGCCAGAAGAGGGCACCAGATCTCATTTTAGATGGTTTCTGGGAATTGAATTCAGGACCTCTGGCAGAGCAGCCAGTGCTCTTAACCTCTGAGCCATCCCTGCAGCCCCTGTCTCTCCAGCTCCTGTCAGAATTCTTTATTCTGCTCTTCCTAAGCTTGCTGCCTCTACTGAAGTCTGTTTTGGTGAGCTGAATTTTTTTTTTTAAAGACAGAGTTTCTCTGTGTAACAGTCCTGGCTGTCCTGTAACTTGATTTGTAGACCAGGCTAAGCCTCGAACTCACAGAGGTCTGCCTGCCTCTGCCTCCTGAGTGCTGAGATTAAAGGTGTGCACCACCACCACCCGGCTTGGTGAACTGAATATTTTTATCTTTGTCTTATGAGCCAGTGATTTTAAAATTTTTCTTTCTGTATTTTGGCTTTCTTTTATCAGTTCTCTATTAGCATGAATGTTAATTCAGTTCGGGGGCTGGTGAGATGTCTCATCCTGTACAAGCACTTGCTATCAGGCTTAGTGCCCTAAATTCAATCCCCTAGATCCCTCAAGGTCACAGGAAAGAGCTGACTTCTGAGGCTCATGCTGTGCTCCACACTCTGGCACTCATGGACCTGTGCACATGCATACAATGAATCAGTTAACCATGAATTCAAGGGCTAGAGAGAGGGCTCAGTAGTTAAGAACACGTACTGCTCTTCAAGAGGACCCAAGTTCAATTCCCAGCACCCATGTGGTCATTCACAATTGTTTGTAACTCCAGTTCTGGGAGATCCGATTCCTTCCTCTGAACTCCATGGGCACCAGGCAAATACAAGGTACATATACATACATGCAGACAAAACACTCATACACATAAAATAAAATAAATAAATCTTAAATAAGTAGGCAAAGAATTCAGTTTGGTCCAGACATGGTGGTTTACACCTGTAATCCCAAGCAAACGAGGGTCTTCAACAGAGGAATGGCCATCATCATTAGTTTGGTTTTCATTCTTTTCTCCGTTTGAAGGGCCTTTTTTGGTGTGTCTGTGTGGTATGGCTGGGTTAACTAAGGTTGAAGAGTGCGTGGCAGGTTTCAGAATTCAGTGCTGCTGTGACTGGAATGCTGTCCCTTTTAATTGTCATTTCCTGGTTCCTCCCCCTCCCCTTCCATTTTTACCAATAATGTGTTGAGCTGTGAATCCCTTAAGTGCATATAGGTTTTATAATCTTTTTTAGATTATCGTAGCTTGGGTTTGTACTTCTCCCTTCACTTGGGAATTTTTCAAATAAGTTTTAAGATTTCTTTTTATGCAGGCATGCAGTGCTTGTGAGGGCCACAGGAGGGCGCTGGATCCCTGGGGGTGGAGTTCTGACAGGCTAAGCCACCTGGCGTGGGTGCTAGGAACTGAACCTGGCTTCTGTGAGAGCAGGAAGTGCTCTTCACCACCAAGCATTTCTCTGGCCGTTTTGGTTTTTGTGTTTTATGATTTAAAAGAAGAATAATTATGTGCATATGTTCATGTCTGTATTTGGGTATACACATGTGAGTACCGTGCCTGCTGCATGTACTCTTAGTATGTAGCCTTCTCAGCAACCCCATTTTGTTTTGTTTTTTAATTTTCAAATGCAAGACCCTTTCTGGTTTTTTTTTTTTTTGTTGTTTTTTTTTTGGTTTTTCAAGACAGGGTTTCTCTGTGTAGCTTTGCGCCTTTCCTGGAACTCACTTAGGAGCCCAGGCTGGCCTCGAACTCACAGAGATCCGCCTGGCTCTGCCTCCCGAGTGCTGGGATTAAAGGCGTGCGCCACCACTGCCTGGCGCAAGACCCTTTCAATGTAATTGTTTAAAAGGAAATTCATTGATCCATATTGCAGACATCAGAGAATAAGCTTGCCTTTTCTTAATCTTTTGCCATTTCTTGTGTGGGCTGAGTGAGCTTGTATGTGGGGTGAGACTGGGATGGATCGCTGTGGCCTTGGGGCACTAGGTTTATTACTAGGATGATGTAATTTGGGTGGGTGTTTTTTTCAAGACAGGGTTTCTCTGGGTAGCTTTGGAGCCTGTCCTGGATCTCACTTTGTAGACCAGGCTGGCCTCAAACTCACAGAGATCCGCCTGGCTCTGCCTCCCGAGTACTGGGATTAAAGGCATGTGCCACCACCACCCAGCCAGATGATGTAATTTCTTAGATGCTTTTCCTTTCCCATTCTACCTGGCTCTGGTGGCAGGGAGGGCGGGATAAAACATACATTTGTCCTTAATTAAACTATGTTCTGTCAAAACAGGTGTTGAGAGAAAAAAGAATTCCTCCTTGGATGGAGGTGGTCCTGGTCCCCATGACAGGAAAACCAAGCCTGTACCCAGGGCTGTTCCTCTTCACCACTCCCTGCAGGCTGGTGAGGCCTGTGCAGAACTTGGAACTGGGTAAAGAAGAACTCATTGGAACTATGGAACAGGTTGGTACCTGCTGTAGTGTGTGCTTATGTAGAACAGTTCAGGGGCTCGGCTTTCACTTTTAAAAGCATTTGGAAGAAAATCCAGCTTATTTTCCTGGCCCTCTTTGTCCAGCACTAAGTAGTTTGGATGTCTTGCCACCCTGCCGGGAACCTGAGGGAGTCCTGGTGCTCACAGAACCGCCCTTCCTGCCCAGTGTTCACGGTTCCTTTGCACCTGGCTCTGCCCCAGTTGGTGAGACCGAGGCATCTCTGACTCAGTCTCAGTTGTCATCTACATCTTTGCTGCTGCCAAACTGGAGTTTGTGCCAACTTTAAAATTTTATTTAAAAAAAAAAAAAAAAAAAAAGCCGGGCGGTGGTGGCGCACGCCTTTAATCCCAGTACTCGGGAGGCAGAGGCAGGCGGATCTCTGAGTTTGAGGCCAGCCTGGTCTACAGAGTAAGATACAGGATAGGCAGGACTACACAGAGAAAGCCTATCCAAAATAAATAAATATTTGTCTTCCTTTTCGGCCCTTCACAACTGGACAGGGTAGGATGAAGCACCTAAGGGGAAAGGGTTGGGGTGCTTAGCACACACAGTCCCTGGGTCCAATGCCAGCTCCACCACAACAGTAGCAATTCGGCGTTCATGATTGGGGCAAGGAAAGTATTCTGCAGCCTTGAGCGCTAACCCCTGGAAAGCAGCGAGACAGCCACAGTTACTTTGTGCATCTGCCCCCCTTCCTCTGCTCCAGCTCTTCATGAACGTTGCCATTTTTGAGGATGAGGTTTTTGCTGGAACTTCCACACACCAGGAGCTCTTCCCTCATAGCCTGCTGAGTGTGATCGCCAACTTCATCCCCTTCTCCGATCATAACCAGAGTCCTCGGAACATGTACCAGTGCCAGATGGGTAAGGTGGGTGGAGGTGGTGGTTGTACACACACACATAAAAAGTGCTTTTAAGTTAGACTGAAGTAATCTGAGAATTTTCAAGAATAGCATAAAGAATGCCCACAGATCAGTCATCTATCCCATTAACATTCTGCCCAGTTCATACTTTTGCTTGTTCACTTGAAAATTGTAAGCACAGTGCCCCTTTCCCACACATCAGTGCATATTCCCAACCACTAGACCTCTTAGTCAGGGATAGTTATCAAAATCAGGAAGTTTAGCACTGACTTCCTCGTAAGAAATGTTTTACTTTGAATTACATGTATGTGTGTCTTTGTGTGAGTACTGCATGTATGTGCAGGTGTCTGCAGAAGCCAGAGGCATTGGGTCCTCTGGAGCTGGAGTGACAGTCAGTTGTGAGCCACCTGACCTGGGTGCTGAACTTAAGCTCGTGTGCAAGAGCAGCACACACTCCATGTTTTAGTCCTTTCTCGATTTGGAGCGAGGCGGAGAATCAGGCCCGTCCAGGATCACTGGGGTTCTGCAGTGCATGTATCTATCTCCTTTGATGTAGCAGAGCTCTTCAGCTTGTTGGTGTCCTTCTTGACATTTACATTTTCAGAGAAATGATTTGAGCTTGTCTGAATCTCATGACTTGACTTTTGAGGGGTTCAAACCATTACAGTCACTCACATACTATCACTTTCAGTGCTTTTGATTTCTATCTGAAATGAAAGCGTCAGCATTTGATATTCTCTTTATCACCACAACCTTCCTTGAGCTGGTCTTGAATTCAGTGTCCTCCAGGGCTGGAAGGATGGCTCAATACTTAAGATCGTTGGCTGCTCTTCCAGAGGTCCTGAGTTCAACTCCCAGCACCCTTATGGTGGCTCACAGCCATCTGTAACTGTCTGTATTCCCACGAGATCTGATTCCCTCTTCTGGTGCTTGCAGACATTATCCTCAGGCCTCAGCCTGTTGAGTACTAGGGTTATTGGTGTACACGCCTCAGATCCTTTTAGCATTTTTGTTTGTTTGTTTATAGTACAGGTTACTGACTACAAATTCTCTTGTACTCATTCTGCAAATTCTTTTTCATTATTCTGAAATTTCTTTTTCACACTCACTTGAAGGAAATCTTATTATACCAGCCATATAATCCTGAGAGGACAGGCCCTTTTATTTCAGTGTGTTAAAGCTGCTCTACAGTCTCCTTTTAGTCATTCCTACTAACTAGAAGGCAGGGCTTATAAAGTACAATTTCCCTGTATGTGCTGTTGTCCCTCTCTTTAAGACTTGTCCTTTATCTTTGTTTTTAGGAGATTGGCTGTATGTCTAGATTCTCTTAGTATGTCTTCTGATTACATTTACTGGTCTTTATAAGAAAAACAATGATCTACTTTGGAGCTTTTTCCATTGCTTCCAAAATGTTGCTTCTTCCTCTTTATTTCTCTTTCTCTTCCAAGATTTAGTCATCCATTATTTGTAAAAACATTTAGTTATTTTTTATCGTGTGTGTGTCTTTTTTTTTTTGTATGTATGTGTTTGTAGTGGTTTGAATGAAAATGGCCCCCATAGGCTCATAGGGAGTGGCACTATTTGAAAAGATTGAGAGGTATGGCCTTGTTGGAGGAACTATGTCAATGCAGGCAGGCTTTGAAGTTTCAGAAGCTCAAGCCAGGCCCAGTATCTCTCTCTCTGTTCCTGTTGCCTGGGAATTTAGATGTAGAACTCTCAGCTCCTTCTCCAGCACCATGTCTGCCTTGGTGCCATCATGATTCCTACAATGATGATAACGGACCAACCCTTTGAAATCGCAAGCCAGCCCCACTTAAATGTTTTCCTTTATAAGCGTTACCATGGTCAGGGGCTGGAGATATGGCTTAGTGGTTTAGAGCACTGACTGCTCTTCTAGAGGTCTTGAGTCCAATTCCTAGCAACCACATGGTGGCTCACAACCATCTATAGTGGGATCTGATGCCTTCTTCTGGTGTAAAGGTATCCATGCAGTTAGAGCATTCATATATACATAAAATAAATAAATCTTTAAAAAAAATTGCCGTGGTCATGGTGTCTTTTCACAGCAATAGAAACCCTAACTAGGGGGAATGAAAAGATGTCTCAGTGGTTAAGAGCACTGGCTGCTCCTCCAGAGGACCTGGGTTCAATTCCCAACACCTACATGGCAGCTCACAACTGTCTGTAACTCTTGTTCCAGGGGATCTAACAACCTCACACAGACATACATGCAGGCAAAACACCAATGTACATAAAATACAAATAAATACATTAAAAAAAAAAAACCCTAACTAAGACTCTGTGTGTGTGTGTGTGTGTGTGTGTGTGTGTGTGTATGTGTGTGTTATTAATTTGATACCTTACATTCTGTTACCCAGAATTTAGAAACATTGACATTTCTGTGTGTATCCCCACATGTCCTATACTTGTACGTATCCTCTGTACCTTTCAATGTTTCCATTATATTATACATTTGTGTCCATATATGAATTATAGTAGTGTTTGCGGTGTTACAAGTGTTTATAAATAGTATCATTAAATGCAGTGCTGAATTTCCCTTGACCAGCATTATTTTCATAGGCTAGGCGTTTTGATAGAGCATCTTCATTCTCAAAGCTGGTGATAGTCTATACTAAGCAGAGCCATCATGCATGCGTTATCCATTCTCTGTGGTGTGTAGTTAGTTGTTCCCAGTTTTACGAAGCACGTTGAGAATTGATGATTGGAAACAACGTAAAGACATTTCTTCCTCTGTAGGTAAACAGACCATGGGCTTCCCACTGCTCACTTATCAAGACCGATCGGATAATAAACTCTACCGTCTTCAGACACCTCAAAGCCCTCTAGTGAGACCGTGCATGTATGACTATTATGACATGGACAACTATCCAATTGGGACAAACGCCATTGTAGCTGTGATCTCCTACACTGGCTATGATATGGAAGATGCCATGGTAAGTGTTGCTAGTTGTAACTCTAATCTTTTCTCATTGCTGTTTGTGAACTTTCTTAGTGTGAGATCACTGAAGGAATGTTTATGTGTCCTCAAGGACATAATAGCAAATGCATTTAAATGGTTAGTTATATACATTTAAATGGTTCGTTCCTGTCTGAGGTTAATGAAGGGAAACATTGAAAGACATCCAGTGTACATATATCTTCTTATCTGTGTACATACTGTGGGTAAAGGTTGATGTGAGGTCTTGGTATAGTTACCTTTTATATCTTTGATTATGTCTTAAGCCATATGAGTCTGGATCTTGATAGCATTGGTAATTTGGAAATGCAGTTTCAAAATCAAATGCCAGTTACCCTAAACCAAGTATTAGTAAATCTTAACTGGTTATATTTTGAAAGTTGTTTGCCTGTTGTTGTTTGTTTTTGCTCTTTTGGAAGGCCCGCCCCCCAGCTCCCAAATAAATCACACACAGAGGCTTATTCTTAATTATAAATGCCCCGCCTTAGCTTGGCTTATTTCTAGATTTCCTTCATTTAAATTAGCCCATCTACCTTTGGCTTCAGGGGCTTTTATCTTTCTCTGTTCCTGTATGCCTTTTCTTTACTTCTTACTCGGTGTCTGGCTGTGTGGTTGGGTGGCTGGCCCCTGCAGTCCTCCTTCGCTGGCTGCTGCTTTTTCTTTCTCGTCTCAGATTTCTCCTATTTATTCTCTCTGCCTGCCAGCCCCGCCTATCCTTTCTCCTGCCTCCCTATTGGCTGTCCAGTTCTCCATTAGACCATCAGATGTATTAGACAGGAACAGTAACACAGCTTCACAGAGTTAAACAAATGCAACATAAACAAAAGTAACACACCTTAAAATAATATTCTACAACATTTGCCCTCAGTCTTATAAGTTAATTTGGTTCTTTGGCTCCACAGATTGTGAATAAGGCTTCTTGGGAACGAGGCTTTGCTCATGGAAGTGTCTACAAGTCTGAGTTCATAGACCTCTCTGAAAAATTTAAGCAAGGGGACGATAGTCTTGTGTTTGGGGTCAAACCTGGTGACCCCCGGGTTATGCAGAAGTTGGACGATGATGGATTGCCATTCATAGGAGCAAAGCTGCAATTTGGTGACCCCTACTACAGCTACCTAAACCTTAACACCGGGGAAGGCTTTGTGGTTTACTATAAGTAAGTTTGGGGACATGTTGGACTGCTGGCTGGTTTGTTAGCGGGAAGTGTGTCACTAGGAGCCCTGACTGGTCTGGAGCACACTGTGTCGACCAGCCTGGCCCTGATGTAACAGCTGATGCCCCTGCCTCTGCCTCTTAAGTGCCTGTGCTGCCACACCTGGCCCTGTGCTGGTTTTTATAGGCTGTTTCTTAGTGAGATTACTGGAGGTCAATGAAGTTTTCATTTAACAGAAGGAAAAAGATTTTATATATATAAATCTAGTTATTGTTTTAAATCTCTGCTGCTCTAACCAAATAGGTAAGACTGGGAAATAAAACAAAGTCTCTCTGTCCTGGGGACTAGAACATTCAGGACTGAGGCACTGGTAGATTCGCTAAGGTGGACTCATGGAGGCACTACCTCCGTGTCCTGACGGGGGAAGACGGAAAGGCTAACAGCAGCAAGCAGCTCAGACCCCTTTTGTAAAGACACTGTCTACTGATGAGGCTCCATCCTCAGGACTTAAATCCCTCCTAAGGGCCTCACTCCTAATACACAGCAGTAGAGGTGGAGTCCCACATGAGCAGGGGGTGATGACATTGCGATGATGTCATTTGTGGTCCTTGCTGACGTGAGCACTGCTGAGTCCGGTGCCTGGCTTTTGGGGTGGTGGTCCATCACTGTTTCCTTCGTGCACGGCATTAAGGGTGGTTCCTGGCCAAATACTGGGTTCATTATGCCTCTTCCTAAAGACAATAATTAGCTGCTTTTACAATGATAAAAATGGCTTCAGTGGGCTTGCTTAGTATTGCTTTCCATAGCTAATATTCTCTCAGATAAACATAATTAGTAATTCTAGTCATGGGTAACTTCTGACATCTATTTATATTGGTGAGCATAAGGGGGATACATTTACATATACACTCTATGGAACATTAATCATGTCAACAAAATTTAAGTATTTTTATTTTCAAACGAAGCTTGGGAAGGCTTTGTGTCAAACACCTGTGATTCTAGCACATGGAGACAGAGGCAGGAGGATCATTGCAAGTTCTAGGTCAGCATTGTAGGCCAGCCAAGGCTAGCATAGTGAGACTCAACAAACAGAGCAAATAGCTTGACTTTTTATTTCATGTTTTTTTTTTCTAGGAGTAAAGAAAATTGTGTTGTGGACAACATCAAAGTGTGTAGTAACGACACGGGCAGTGGGAAATTCAAGTGTATCTGTATTACGATACGAGTCCCTCGGAATCCAACTATTGGAGATAAATTTGCCAGCCGTCATGGACAGAAGGGCATTTTGAGCAGGTTGTGGCCAGCTGAGGACATGCCTTTTACTGAGAGTGGGATGGTGCCAGACATTCTGTTTAACCCTCATGGCTTTCCCTCCCGGATGACCATCGGTATGTTAATCGAAAGTATGGCTGGGAAGTCTGCAGCTCTGCACGGTCTCTGCCATGATGCCACACCCTTCATCTTCTCTGAGGAGAGCTCCGCCTTAGGGTACTTTGGGGAGATGTTAAAGGCGGCTGGCTACAACTTCTATGGCACCGAGAGGTTGTATAGCGGCATTAGCGGGATGGAGCTGGAAGCAGATATTTTCATCGGTGTGGTTTATTACCAGCGCTTACGCCACATGGTGTCAGACAAATTTCAAGTTAGGACAACTGGAGCCAGGGACAAAGTCACCAACCAGCCTGTCGGGGGAAGAAACGTTCAGGGTGGAATCCGCTTTGGGGAGATGGAACGGGATGCTCTCTTGGCACATGGTACGTCCTTTCTCCTTCACGATCGGCTCTTCAACTGCTCTGACCGCTCGGTTGCCCACGTATGTGTGAAATGTGGCAGTTTGCTCTCCCCACTACTTGAAAAACCTCCTCCTTCTTGGTCTGCAATGCGCAACAGAAAATATAACTGCGCTGTCTGTGGCCGCAGTGACACAATTGACACTGTCTCTGTGCCATACGTTTTCCGGTATTTTGTAGCTGAGTTGGCAGCTATGAATATCAAAGTAAAACTGGATGTCATTTAACTTGATCCCGCTGTTTGCCTTTCAGGCAAATGCCTAGCCAGGGCCCTACGGCAGTACATCATATATAATCTATGCACATGCACCGTGTGGCAGAGTAATGTGTGAGGACCCCCTTTAAAGGCGAGCTCCACCCATTCCTCGCTCTCTTTCCCACCGCTCCTCCTAGAGGCAAGCAGGCAGACAGGCCTTTGTGCCTCTCCCTTCCAATCCCTCCCTCTCTTCTCTTTCTCTCCTCTCCTCTCTCCCCTCCCCTCCCCTCCTCCTCTCCTATCCTCTTCTCAACTCTTGTCCATCTGTCCCCCATAAGACCTCCTTGTGAGCCCTGACACATAGTGTGTCTGTCTGCTCTTGCCCGCCATTTTTAACAACATTGGTGCTGTGTGACTTGGCAGGCCATCCTGGTGCCTCCTCCTGTCCGCTGGCAGTCTGAGGTGCACCAGGACCCTGAACCTGGTTCATCTACAACCCCCTCTGCACAACACCGGCTACTATGATTGTTGACTTTCTCCTCAGGAAGGGGGTGGGGGACACCACCTTTGGGGCTTCGCTGGTCCCTTTTGCCAGCAATCACCTCTGGCCATTCCCCATGAGTGAGGTCTCGTTCCTCGTCTATCGAACCTACATGTCCCTTGGCCCCTCCCCTCTGTGTGCCGACTCACTGGGCAGCTTGTACATTTCTCATCTCTTTGACCCAAACATCCCTCGGGCTTAGCCCTGACCCCTGCTCTGTGTTTGACGAATCACTGAACAGCCTGTGCTATCTTAATTGATCCTTGCTTAATTTCTGGGATGCTAGAAATTCTAAAGCCATTGGATCTCAGTTTTTTCGTTTTGTTTTTCCTCCTCTGCCTCACCCATGGGGAATAAGCCTAACAGTAATAAAGCCCGACATCTCCTCTGGAATGTCTTTTAGAAAACCTCAAACCTCTATGCTTAATGCCCTGCTTAAAGACTTCTAAACTCATCCGCCTTTGCACCCAGAAATGGCCCAAATACCACTTAGATAACCGGTTAAAATGGCCACCTAACGTCACTTTAGACCTCGATATTTTATGGGAGCTTTCCAACTTTTGCCAGCGGACGGGTACATGGAAGGAGTTGCCTTACATACAAGCTTTCCATAAAAGAATCCAATATATTACCCAATCTTATAGTCTCACCTTTCATGATATATATATGTTCCTAACTAACAACCCACTTCCTGAGGAGCACAAGCAAGTTTCGGAACAGGTTAGAATACATGCAGACAGAATTCATCAAACTAATGCAGCATGTCCACCCAGGGCCAAGGTGGTCCCCGATCAAACGAGGCCCACGACGAGATTATAACACCCCAAGAGGTGCTCTAGCTAGAGACCAGTTTACAACCTGGCTCCTGGCGGGTCTCCGTAAGGCTGCCCTTAAACCAGTGAACTATGAGAAACTCCCAGACTCATAAAGGAGACTCACAGAACAAATTTCAGTATAACTCTACTATTGCCTGCCCTCAGCAATGAACCACCTGTGTCTCCTGGGTGCTAAGGTGTCACTATGATGATGGGAAAGGAACAGGTACTTTAAGGTTTGGTTAGGTGGAGATAGAAAAGCTTAACTGGTGATAAGGAGAATGATTTGAGGTGTTCCAGCAGTCTCAATAATGTTCCAGCGCCCTCATTGCCCACCCACTTGCCACCCCTAACTCCTCACTTTTTTATAATAAACAAAAGAGGGGAATGTTAGCATTTCAGGTAAATACCTAGCTAGCGCCCAGGGCCTTAGGGTCCTATGTTACCTAATCTGTGCACTGCGTGGCTGTGTAAGCCTCCATACACATGCGCTAGGACCCCCTTTAAAGGCAAGCTCCGTCCATTCCTCATGCTCTTTCCCACCGCTCCTCACAGAGGCCAGCAGGCAGGCAGACCTTTGCGTCTCTCCCTTCCAATCCCTCCCTCTCCTTCTCTCAACTCTTGTCTCCCTCCTCAATAAACCCTCCACGTGAGCCCTGTTGCATGGTGTCTCTTTCGGCTCTCGCCTGCCGTTTTTAACAACGCCGGCCATCTGAGTGAAGAGATTAGAACAAAAGGTGACTTTAATCCAGTGAAGGTATTATGGATTCACTCTGGATCTATACAAGAATTTCAATACTGACGCCAAGAACAGGCAGCTGAGAATTCAAGACTTCCGTGCCTCTGAAACCTGCTGAAGTTGGTTTGTTATATTTGTTTAAAAATGTTCTTAAATGACTTCTTTACAATGATTTGTTGATCATAGATCGTGCAGGGACACCTCCTTTCCAGGCCCAGGTTCACTGGTCCCTGCTTTCAGTAGCAGAGTTTGTCTGTCATCATCCAGAGCAGGGCAGTATAATAAACAGAAAATGGAAGCCACAAATGTAATTTTTATTTTTATATACATGTAAAGTTAAGCTATTTCATGTATATAATTTGATGGATTATAACATAGGTCTAGTCTGTGATGTCATCATGGTCAAGGTAAATAAACATCTGTTATCTCCAAAGTTTCCTTGTACACATTTGGGTGGGTAGTGCATATGTGTATGTGTATGTGTGTGTGTGTGTGTGTGTGTGTGTGTGTGTTCTCTTCACAGTTCCAAGTGCACTTGTCAGCTACAAGCAGCACTCTATTTCCCTGGCCTTCAGCAACAGCCATTCTACTCTGTCTGTGAGTTCGGCTTTTTCAGTAACTCATAGTGGGATCATGCAGGCCTGTCCATGTTTCACTTAGCATGGTGTCCTCAAGGTTCAGCCATGTCTTCAAATTGGCAAGACTTCCTCCACCTTTAAGGCTGAATGTATCTGACTAGTGAGCAGCTATGGTCCTTTGCTTATTTTTTTAACCTTTGTATAAGTGTCTTGTACTTTGTAGGGTTTTGTGTATAATATCTTATCCAGCTGTATTGTTCCCTGTTAATGGGTGTTTGGAAACATCCATGAAAAACACCTTGAACTGGTTGATACTTCCCCTTGCTTAAGAGAGAAGCCCAGCTTTGGACCCAGCTACCCCGTTCTCTGTCTGCCTCACAGTCCTGTGGCTGAGGTTACTGTTCACATCTAGTGCCACAAATAGGTGTGGTTTTGAGGGCCTTGTTGTTGAAAGTAGGATTCACTATGAAGCCAAGATTGGCTATGAACAAGTCATCTTCCTGCCTCAGCCTCCAGAGTGGTAAAATTGTCAGTATGTACCACAATGCCCAGCTAAATTGGTTTTATTTTGATACAGGGTTTCTTTGTAGTCCTGGCTGTCCTCACTCTATAGACCAGGCTAGCCTCAAACTCAGAGATTGCCTGCCTCTGCTTCCCAAGTGCTAGGATTAAAGGTGTGCACAATCCCTGCCCAGCACCAGCTAATTTTTAAAAAAATTAACTTTTACCCTGTCTCGAAAAAACAAAAAACAAACAAACAAAAACAAAATAAAACAAAAATGAACTTTTGATCTTGTAGATTCTTTTGGTTTTTCGAGACAGGGTTTTTCTGTGTAGCTTTGCGCCTTTCTTGGAACTTACTTGGTAGCCCAGGCTGGCCTCAAACTCACAGAGATCCGCCTGGAGTGCTGGGATTAAAGGTGTGCACCACCATCGCCCGGCTGATCTTGTAGTTTCTTAACCAATAAATTGACATGAATTTAAGACAACCCCCCCAAAAAAATTACTCAAAATTCTCCAATTTTATGTATTCTTACATATAGTTGCATGGAATATTATCCTCTATGTAGATGGGTGTTACACATAGGACACTTCTGTTAATATCACTAACCCTTCAATCCTTGTCTATAATATTGAGAAATGCTGTAAATAGAATCGTAAAACATATTTTGAGACTCGTTTTTTTTAACTTAACAGAATTCCCCTTAAATTCATCTAAATTGTATATATTAATTCATGCTTTTGTATTGCTGTATAGTACTCCAAAGTATGGGTGGACTAGTTTAACCATCCACTTGAAAGAACATTTATCTGGGACAAACATTGACGAGAACAATTACTGAATCATAGTTCTATAAGAAATAGCCGTGGGGCTGGAGAAGTGGCTAAATACAGTGTTTGCTATGCAAGTATTAGGACCTGAGTTCGGATCACTGGCGCCCACATAGAAGGTATGGCAGGGCACACTCGGAATACCAGTGCTGGGGTGTGGAGACAGGATCCCAGGGGCTCACTGGCCTGCCAGTCAAACTTTGGTGGGCTCCAGGTTCAGTGAAATACCCTGTCTCCAAAAACTTAGGGTGCAAAGCAATGGAGAAGACACCTGCCACTGTCCTCTGGCCTGCACACACAATCATGCACCCGCACACACACACACACACCATACACACTGAATGGACCTGGTATTTGGCACAAGAAACCCCAAGACTAAGTTCTCAGCACAAAGGAGATTTATTTGCCACAGGGGGGCAAAAGTAGGGAATAAGAGACAAGAGACAGGACACAGAGGCAAAGGAGAAGGGGAAGGGACATTTGTCAGCAACCAGGGAGATGGGAAAGGGATATTTGTCCTGGAGGGACAAAGGACTGCCTCTGGATAAAGAGGAAGCAGACGTGGCCTATAGACAAATGGCAATTTAAAAAGGGAAAGGGAAACCCTGTGTTAGGATGAGGTGTTCAATTTTGGCTGGACATATGAGGGTGGCCAAAGGGGGCTTTTGATTGCTGGACTTCAATACTTTGATAGCTGGACCTTGGTAGTCAGCCTCAGGAGGAAGCGACGAAGTAAGGGAACAGACATTGGGGCTAGCTTTAGGAGTGTAATTTCATGGGTTTTAGCTAAGTGCAGAGAATGGGGGAGAAGGGCAAGGCCTGACAGCCATGTTTGGTTTGACTAGCGTCCTTTTCCCAGCTCCCTCTCCTCAGCAGCTGCTGCTGTTTACAGCTTGCCTGCCCTGGTGTTTTCTCTCAAACTAATAACATCGTCCTTGAGCTTCCTAACGAATACATTTTAAAAGTCTTTCATGGACAGCGCCCCCAAAGGGAACCCTAGTAACAAGCAATTCTGAGATCTTCATTTCTCAGATCTGCTTCGCTTCAAACATTACGGTTCTCTCTACATTTGACTTAGTCACACTCTTGACAGAGTCACCAGCCAAAAGGCAACTGAAGTCTGGAGGTACGAGTGTCATGTTTCCCAAAGATGAAAGTGTCACGTGTGGTGTGGCTTCTTACATCTGTCACATGAATCAGACACAGATGGCTGGGAGCTGTCATCCCCTGTCAACGGTCTACCACAGAACTCAAGATTACAACCTCCAGTCAACACCTCCTTTACCCGGAACTGCTGTGTTCAGGCGCTGAGCCCTTCTCTTGCGCTGTGTCTGGTATGAAGGAGGCTACCGCAGTCATCCCCCATTTCACAGCCGCATACTGCGGTGGTTCTTGCTTTTCGTTTAGTCTCAGAAGACCTCTTCATACTAGATGAACAGACGCTCCATTCTCTGAGAAAGGAGCATTTAGCCTTTTAAACAGGGACATGGACTCCCAGGTCTAGCCTTATCATCTGAAGGCGTATATGGAGGGTGGAGACCACAACAAGGAGAATTACAGAGGAAGTAATTTGTCCACGATGGCAAGGAGAGCAAGCAATAAAATCTGCTTTCATCCTGCCGTTATCACCTACGCCAGGAAAAGGACATGGATGAGTTAATAACCGTATGGAAGACCCCATGTGGCTATTAGGGGAGTGTGCACCGGCGTAAAGCCGGAGCTCAGCTGAGAGGTCAGTCCCCTGTTCCCGAGCCCAGCGGCGGCGGGCAAGGTTGCCGACTCAGCCGCCCCGTGTGGAAGGCCGCAGCCACGCCGGCCGGTGGCTACTGACTCCAGCCAGGAAAGCGCCAGCGGCTGCAGACCGCAGAGACCCGCAGCTAACCCGACTCGCTCCGGTGCCGAGCTGCAGCAGCACTTCCGATCTCCTACTTCCGGTGAGCTCTAAGCGCCGCCGCCACCACCACAAGCCGGAAGTAAAAAAAAAAAAAGCTAAAACAAAATAGCCGACGGACCGGAAGTAGTTACGTGAGGTCCCGCCCAGACAAGCCGTGAGCCGGAAGGCGAGGCAGAGCGTTGCCATGATGAATTTAGGTGGGATGAGTGGCAGGACTCTCGGCGACCGGAAGAGTGAGGCGGGGAGGTATGGGTTGGGCGCTGCCATGTCAACCTGATACCGGAAAAGGCGGGTCTCTTCTCCCTGACTGATCGGCGCCTGAACTCGCCTGGAGATGTGAGTTAAACTCCCTACAACTCTCGGTCATGCTTAGCAGGCTGCATGATCCCCAATGGGAAACGCCTGCACTCAAGGCTGGAGATACCCCAGGCCTGCCTCACCGTAACCAGACTTTTAGAACTTCCACTGTCTTTCTAAAAACTCCCACCCTGTACCACAACGCTCACGGCTCAGCTCTTATTTCTGCCCCTCGTTGGTTGTCCATGTCACAGGATCCTTAAAATTTACAAATCTGTCTTGGATCCCTAGGCTAACCACAGATCCAAATCGGAACTTTTTCTTGTCTACTCTTGAGATTATCTTCAGCTTACCCTGTCCCGCAGGCAGGCAGCTCTGGAAGTCACTGCTCGGTACTGCAGCCGGGAGCTGGATCAGTATGGCCAATGTGTGGCAGCCAAGCCTGAATCTTGGCATCGGGATTGTCACCACCTTAAGATGAGCATTGCCCGCTGCACATCCTCCCAGTGAGTGTAAAAGTGGGGCCAGAGGGTGCCAGGCAGTGGGGTGTGAATGCTCCGGGTCTGAAATGCCCTGCTCCCACAGCCCCATCATCCGCCAGATCCGCCAGGCCTGCGCTGAACCTTTTGAAGCTTTTGAGGAGTGTCTTCGCTTGAACGAGGCAGCGGTTGGCAACTGTGCCGAACACATGCGCCGCTTCCTGCAGTGTGCTGAGCAGGTGCAGCCGCCAAGTTCACCCACAGCTGGAGAGGTAAAGGAGGCTCACTAGATCATCTTTTCCCCTTCACAACTCCCTTCATTTTCTAGCTCAAAGTAGATACGTTTAAGTCCTAGCCACACCTGATTCCCACACATGCCTTGGTTGTGAATCCAGAACCCAAAGCACGGTTCTCTACTCCAAGTTGCAGCCTCTGCTTTAGTCTAACTTTCACGCTCCTCCTCTGCCAGGGCACGTGCCCCAGCCTTCTCCCTGGCTTGCCTGAACCTCTTGCTTCCACATAACGACCTGAATTCGGGTCACATTTCACCCTTGCTTAAAACTCTCCAGGGGTTTCCCCTTCAGACTGGGAAGACGTCCCTGATTCTTCCTGGATCCCTTGTGTTCTTCCCTTCCTGGCCCATCTTATCCTCTTCATGGCTTTCAGCTGTACTGGTGGGGGTGAGGGATGGGGTGGAGGGGTTCACACACACACACACACATGATCTTAATGTACACAGTACATAAACACATATACAGTATATCTGAGATAATAAAATGTTATTGATGGGGCAATTAGAAAAAGCCTTAACATGCTCTGGGGTTGGCAGAAATGGAAGCGTGAGAAACACTCCCTTGGATGTTTCCTGCTGGACCACTCCAATGGGAAAATTCACACCTTTAACCACCCTCCTCTGAGCACCTCCCATGGGGTCCTCTGTCCCTGCAACCCTGGGCTTCAACGTCTTCTGGACTTCTGTGTTGGTCTCTTTGTCCTTTCTAATCCTTCTTCTGTGATGGTCCCAGAGTGTTCTCAGAGGAAATCTTACCAAGTTTACTTCTATATGGAAACCTCTGTGATTTCACTTCTACCAGACTGGTTCTCATCTCCAGTGAAACCTGACTCCGCTGACTCTGGTCCCACCTCTTCCACCCTCCACTCCAGCTCCATGTTCCATCCCCAGTGGACAACTGGGGATGTCTGCTTTCCTTCTAGCTATTTTGCTCTGCCTGGACTGCCCTCCCCGGTCCATCTTCTGTCTAATTCTTACCCTGTTTAACATGGTACTTCTCTCAGAAAAGCTTCTCTGTTTCCCCCATTCCTATCCCCTGGCTTTTAGACTCCTTCCATCCTGGTCACGCTCCACTGTTTTCCTTGTATCTCGCGCTTCAGGAGAGTTCTTGGCTAAAGGTTACCCTCTAATTATACCTGATATTCATTGGTTCTTTGTATAGAACAGGAGCAGATGAAAGACTTAGGTTATGAGAACAGAAGGACTTTAGTTCTCCACAGGAAATGTTCAGGAATGATTGCATATTGTCCATACTAGTTACTCAGCCATCTCATAGGAATATCTCTTTCTTTCAAGTGTTTTCAGCATCTAGATAATAAGCCCTTTCATTCCTTTTTTTTTTCTTGTTTTTAATTTTAGTTTTTATTTTTCACTTTATGTGTATCAGTGTTATTCCTCTATGTATGTGGACCATGTGTGTGCCTTGTGCCCATGGAGGTTAGGAGAGGGTGTCAGATCTCCTGGAATCCTCTGGAATTGGTGTAACACAAATTCCTAAACAGTCTTAATAAAAAACCCAGATCCAGATATTGGGGTAAATCCTGAAAGATCAGAGAGACAAAGGACCAAGCCACCTCTCACCTCTAGGACTCCTCAGCCTGAAAAGCTTCTAGTTCCTGTCTCCTCAAGCTTTTATACCTTTCTCCACCCAGCCAGCACTTCCTGGGATTAAAGGCATGTGTGCTTCCCAAGCAAAGGCATGAGATCCTAAGTGCTGGGATTAAAGGTGTGTGCCACCACTGCCTGGCTCTGTTTCTCTCCTAGACTGTGTCAATCTCATGTAGTCCACGGTGGCTTTGAACTCACAGAGATCTAGATGGATCTCTGCCTCCCGAGTGCTAGAGTTAAAGGTGTGTGCCTTTAACTCTCTGCC